TAAACAATATCCAAAAAAAATTCATGACCCCTAACTTTTTGTGGTCAGAATAAATATTATTCGAACTCTAAAACCGTAATTTTACCGACATGATTATCACCTCTTTTGCGCTTCAACAACAACAAAAATATAGAAATGAGATTTAATCTGCAGAACGTGATTTCTTCTGCTAAAAACGGTATCATGTGTCATAATTTATTTCATTTGATAGAGACCCTGTGGCAATGAAAATTGCCTTTAGAATAAAACCTTCTTTCAATGGATTTTATCATCGCATCTGAAATATTCACTAGTTGCAATCAGTGGATATTTAATTGAGGTCACCTATTCCAGCGCCTCAGGTGACAGCAGGTAGTTCAGTTGATAAGGTATCTTGACAGCTAGTATTAGAAACAGTGTGCTGAAGCAATCGACATGAGAAGATGGCGCCGAAAGAAGTGTCCAACAACGCTACTCCCTTATTACGGATGAATGACCTGTCAATCATGGCTGAAATGAACACGGAATCCACACGTTTGACCTTTTTTTCGAATCAGCAATCAGGAGGAGATTAATCTGGTGTACATTTCACTAACACAATAGTGACACTTTGTGACTTTCTGCTCTACAGATCATGCGGGGTGGTTTACAGGCAAAATTACCCGAGCAGTGAGATATATATACCTCGACGACCCCTCAAAGATATAAAAATGTTTACGCTCAAATCTAATACATATTGTACTTATTGTGAGCCCCCCTTGCAATTGGACACATTATTTTTTCAGAATATTATGGCATAATTTAATGAATGTTGATTTACATTCATTCTTTTAGTGTCCTAATATATAAAACGTCAAAGCCAGAGATTGCACTGGGTGTAAAAGACAAGATACCGGTGAAAACGAAAGGAATGTTTGTTTTGTTTGTTTGTTGTTTAACCCCGCACTCAGCAATATCAAGCTATATGACGGCGGTCTGTAAATATTCGAGTCTGGACCAGACAGTCCAGTGATTGACATCATGGACATCGATCCACGGAATTGGGATCTAGCACATGTATCAACCTGATCACCCGATCCCGTTAGTTGCCTCTTACGGACAAGCATTGTCGCTTACTCTAGGAACGGATCGTTGGAAGACAATGGCATATTTTTCGTACATGTTTATCAATGTGTGCCATTCATACCGCTGCGGTTAATGTTTAAGACAAGATTTTTTCATCCAGCCTTTCAAGATATACAACTGTTGTCTCTGAAGGGGTGGGGGGGGGGTTCTGAAGCGAGGGGACAACCTATTTCTTTACACCAGAATTTACCCACAACACGTTATGTTTCTTTTGTAAAACCTGAGGAGAAATTCATATTTTGCAGTATATACGGTAACAGATAATATTTTTATAAACACTCCTGAAGTCAAATGGTTGACCCCCAATTTCCCATCCTGGGAAGAATGTAGAAGTATAGGTTAGACGACGAGGATCCGATGTTAAATCATTGAAATGGTCAACTAAACCGGCGCCCCGATGGGATGAGCTAATATCTAAAATCCTTAAAAGACATTGTTTTGTTATAGGTATTTGGAAACGATAAGCTAAGCCGTGAGAACTTTGTGTGAGTCGGCCCTGCGTGAAGCACGTGAAATACGTTCCCCCGAGACATTCGCACGTGCACCTCGCCGACTCGGGGTATGAAATGCATGTCGCGTGGCAAGTAAGCCATTCATTTTGGACCAACTCGAGCACATTCATCAATCATCTTTTCATAACTTGCCCATGTTGATGGGCCTGTTAGGAACAAACACGGCCCTGATAAAGATAATAGTAATTTATTTTCTATCCTTTCGTTTCGTTGAACGAAAAAAGCTATCAAATCACACGTACATACAATGCACAGAGTAGCACAAAACGTACTCCATAAAACACACATTTCGCAGTTCATAAACGAATAAACTGTTAGTTCTGATGTAAGTAAATATTTAGTTATTAATTTCATATAATTTCTTTCATGTCGCCAGCAGCCTTTGGTGCGGACTCCGCGGGTTCGAATCCCGCTAGCTACACACGTTTTTTTATGAAATTGTTCTATCATCGAAGTAAATAATAGGGTAAAAAGAAGTTCCGTCCTTTGCAAAGAGGTGTTTAACTGACAATTCAGTTAATCAATGGCTGACAAAACGTTCAACTGACGCGACCTCCGTCAAAGTCCTCAGATCTTCAGAGAGGTCTCATGTCGGAGTAAAATATCTTATTTTGGGGAGTGCAACTTGTTGCATTTAATTCATTAACTTTAACAAACGCAAGTTAACAAGTTTATAAGTCGGCGAGAATGTCGCGCTTGTTGACCAATTTATCCTCTTTTGTGAACCAATTGTAAACCGATTGTGAACCAATTTTGACGTTTTCGAACATGACCAAGTTGATGCCAGCCATGTTATACCACCACTGGATCCTGGCTGGACAGATATGGAATATTTATCCAGTTACAGTTATTTATTCGGAATCAGAATCCAGAATTATACGACGTCTCTCATTCCATATCAGCACTTTGATGATGGATGATATACGACAGCAATGCAGTTTACAGCTGACACACAGACACTTCCTTTCCCGAGGCGCTTACTTTGCGCTCTCCGCGGACGTACGGGTGCAATTGAACGATGTGTCAACTGCTGCCGGCAGAGGGCGGGTTTTTCAAAATGGCGTTGCAGACTGATTTTTGCAATATTGTTGAGTGAGTGAGTGAGTACGGTTTTACGCTGCTTTTAGCAGTATTCCAGCAATATCACGGCGGGGGACACCAGAAATGGGTTTCACACATTGTACCCATGTCGGGAATCGAACCCGGGTCTTCAGCGTGACGAGCGAACGCTTTAACCACTAGGCTACCCGACTGCCCCGCAATATTGTTGAACATTGTGTATGTAAAGTATGATTGTTTTGAATAAAGATACGATAAACTTACCGTTAGTTAGACGGTCACTGATCAGACAACAAAAATAAAGTCGAATTGGAACGTAAGGTGAATAAGGATTTCTGGTTCTGCATGTATATCTTATATCTTATCCACAAGTTAACTTTCCGTCTACCAATGATCACATGACATTTGTCTTGGCAAAATACCTTGTTCCTTTAGCCATCCATGAGTCAGTGATGAGTTAGAATTCATCAGCTCGAAAATGGACCAATTATCCTTAAACCCAATGGTTCTCTATTTGATTTCGGAAATTCCCCTAAAGTGTGGATGCCATACTATTCTAAAATCATACAGAAAGTTGCTATAAAATATTTTAAAAACTCAGAATGTGTATTTGACATACATGCCGTCTTAATATATATACTCTTGAAATGGATCGAACGTTATATATTAACTATTCCATACTATAAATAAATAATGAAATAATATACTCTTGAAGTACTGTCTGTATGTGGGTATGGGTGGGTAATAAAATAATGCATCACCAGATTTGCCGACGTCGGGGAGAAATTGAAATTAGACCAAAAAGAAAACCTGTACTGAAGCTGTCAGCCTTATAATCGAAGATGTGGATTTAAGAACCCAAATAAAATCTTATTTCGGAAACTTGCATTCCAGGTATTTTATTCACCAGTTATTTTCCCACTAATGGGTAAAAACAGAATGGTTTTGTGTTTATATTCATCTATATTTAATTTCAGTATATACTGGACAGTTATTAAGGGGAATAAACTAAATACATCGGGTAAGACGTCACTCAAAACGGCAAGAAAAACGTCTCATAAATCACGTAAAAATAATTAATTACCTATAGGGATAGAAATAATCGAGTTACTAAAATTCGTATGTGCACTGGTGCAATATCGTTCACTACACTAGTATATATTGTTTGTGTCGTCCGTGCGGCATTGTTATCATTTCCAATCTTATTCTGACACTAGAAATGACGTCATAGCTGAAAACTGTTGACGTCATTTGACAATTGTGGTGTTCTAAGACGGCGGCCGTGATCAGTGCTTTTCTTTAAAGGAAATCTCAAATGGATTAAGAAATAATAGGTAACATAGCGGGTATTACACTCGCATGTTTGTCATACTGATTTTACGAAACTCGTCTGAGAATAAATGTATTGCCTTCGCTCTCGTTCGGGAAAAATAATATTGCGTCGGGGGCGTTTTTTAGTCAACTTTTGGGAATTCCTGGTTATGATCATTGACCAAAAGTAATCTATGCATGCATGTTGTAAGATTCAACTGAATGGATCGTTGACTTGGTAGATTGTGTTTCATTGTACCCCGACGGCCATTCGTCACCACTTGCCCCTTTCCGTAACCGGCTTGTCCCGGAATGTTATGAGTTGGTCACGAATGCCCCGACGGCATGGGACGTTGTCTAAATCAACCACTGGTTAAGTTGTCAGGGACAAACTCGATTATTTACAGGCCGCCCTGACATCGCTGGAATATTGTAGACTGCAGTAAAAAAAGTAAATCGCAATGTTTTAGATATATTTAAGAGAGGAAAGACACCTATGAAATATCTGAATTTACATTTTCTTTGAGTTTCGACAAAGGAAGGCTTATATTGTATAATAATATATGTCAAATGTTTACAAAGAAATAATTCATGTAAGCGTTTCTCGGACAAAACTGTGCAACTTCATACCAAATTTTATTATATATGTATCTTGTTCACAAACTGACGCATGAAAAGGATTTTTTTCTGTACTGTACTGCAGAGAAAAATACTCCGTGCTGCGAGGGTCTTCAAAATGCAGCTAAAACATATGGGTTTGCCTAGCTTCAACAAGTGATAAGTCTTCCAATAAATGTAATCACTAATGTGGTGGTATCAAACTTCATCTTTGAGTGCGTGTATGTCTAACAAGTTCTTCCGTGTAAGTGAAATGTTCACAGGCCCCGTATTTGTCCAAGTCCGCCATCTTTGTCCCTCGGCGTGCCTTCTCCTCAGTGTGCGCGGAGGCTCCAGAAAGCGCTTTCAGCGTGCGTTTCATTCATTAGGAAATATTCGGAGTTGCTCGCTGGCGCCTCGGCACCAAACGGCTCATTGAATGCACCTCGTTTTACTCTTTCAACACTGTTGGCCGGTACACCGACCAAGAAGCCACGAGAAACCAGATACCGCAGGCAAGTACACCGGCCAGGTCACATCAAAATAGTATATAAGTTTATTAACCTACCTGTCATATCATTCATTTATTCAATCTATCACATTTCGAAATGCCTGAAATACGTATTACATTGCAATTTATAATTTTTTTATCAATAGATTAAAAGATTATCCACTCATCCCTCAATGTTATTGAAAATAAAATTCTCGGACACACACTTCGACAACGTGTCCTAATCGAAACATGTCAAACAGCAAAAGACGTTTCAAGCAAATCGTTATATATATTATACAAAGTAATAAATACAATTAACAAAAATATATCTAAAAGTTGCCAAACTGACATCGAAGTTGTTATTTCCATCTTTTTGTGCGATCGCGTGTAATGTAAGTCAAATGACATCTCGGCTTTCTTTGCCTCTATTTCTCGGCTCGTACACGATGCCAAAATATATGCATAAGAAATCTTTGTCACAGCTCATTACCAAGCACTATGCATCCATGAAGTTCCGTATTTTTTATATATGTCGCCGACAGCCTGATTTCTACTATTATCTTAAGGCTGCCCCTCCACTGTCTACATATAAGGAGTTGTACGTGCGGCCCGTTCCCGGCTTAACGACTATTTCACGGGCTTCTACCTATGACGTCATGCCAATTTGAACTCACAGTCAATTGTCACCTGTCAGCCTGATGGGGTTTTAGGGTGGTTGTTTAACGCCGCACTCGGCAATATTCCAGCAATATGACGGCGGTCTGTAAATAATCGAGTCTGGACCAGACAATCCAGTGATCGATATCATGAGCATCGATCCACGCAATTGGAATCGATGACATGCATCAACCAAATCAGCGAGCCTGACCACCTGATCCCGTTAGTCGCTTCTTACGACAAGCAAAGTCGCCTTTTACGGCAAGCATGGGCTGCTGAAGACCTATTTTTACCCCGGAATCTTCACGGGTCTGTCTCATGTTGACGTTTCATGTTACAGGTACGCACCTCTCTTTCATACCCCTTCTACATCTATATCTAATTGCTAATGTATCAATTATATTGAATATAGTACTTAATAACCGATCAAGTAATGAAACTTCAAAGTGGTAAAGAATTGATCGCGTATATTGTAAACATCGCGCTAATCGCTATTACTAACTTAATCACTGCACTAGCATAGCACGTCAGACAGTGTGTGAAAGGAATAATACTATATGTATATATGTTTCATATTTTAATACCGTTTTATACCAAAAACACAATTTTATGGATCACTGACTTCGCGCCATAAGTGTGACGTCAGTATATTATCTCATTATAAACGCACGAGCATGCACAGCCAATCAGTTGTTATATAATTTTTATTAAATATATTGCCATATTTTACTCCTAACAAGGGGGCGGTCGGGTAGCCTAGTGGTTAAAGCGTTCGCTCGTCACGCCGAAGACCCGGGTTCGATTCCCGACATGGGTACAATGTGTGAAGCCCATTTCTGGTGTCCCCCGCCGTGATATTGCTGGAATATTGCTAAAAGCGGCGTAAAACCATACTCACTCACTACTCCTAGCAATATTATATATATCATATATAATACGCACCGTCAATTGTCACGTGTCAGCCTGGTAGGATGGCCGACAGTACTCAACACTTTTCTCATGTTGACGTTTCATGTTACAGGCAAAAAATACATTTTAAAGAAACTCCGTCTTCGAATACTTGTCTGTGACGACTAGAAGCCTGACCCTGCGACATAATGGCGCCCGAACAGGGACGGACTTTTCATTACACCTGAGCAACACAACGTCGACGACCCCGCTTTCACGACGAGGCTTATGGACTTGTTACGTCGACCACTCATGTATCGATCATGATACTGCATACAACCTACCAACACGTGACTGATTACGATTACTGTGAGTGACTGTGTGATACCTGTGATATAGACATCAACCATGTGTTTATCTGTGATACTTCCGCCTGTGATATTCTGTGATTAACTTTTAACAAGTGATCATCATCAGACTTAGACTTGTACATCATCGTCTATTATATAAACACTTCATCCTCTGTGTCACCGTGACTTCCATATCATAATATAATAATATACACGAATTTCATAATATATTTACAACCATTTAAATGCACAGTCAATGCTTATTACTAAATTCGACAACGTAAAACATGTTTTATCTACAATAGTAGACCAGAAACAGTTGTATATATCAAAACAGACACAAATGACATATTTATAAATATTCAAGGTGTAGGAATACATACTGTGGCGTGACATGAATCAGGTGATCGTTAAATTTATGCACATAACTTGACGCGCCTACACAGTCAGTAGCCAATCAACGGAGAGTAGGATCAAAACAATGTTCATTGGACCTGTCAATTAAGGGAAGAGGCGAAAAGAACTGCAACAGTCAGACTAACTGTAACGAACCGGAAGAAATATGTCCGGGAGAAGGCGGCTGTTTCAAATAACATGGTCAATTACCGCCAAATTCAAACATTACTTCCCTGATTACGGGAAAACACAGTTGGAAAAAAAGCTAGTTAGAAATGAAACCCGAAGACATGAAAGTTGAACCAAGGCGAGCGGGGGAAAAAAACAGGCAAGCGTGCCTCCACGCTTGCTGTTTCATTCATTCTCGTCCTTCGGTCTCCAAGGGTAGTTTGGACAATGAATATGCATGAAAGTCGCTAAATGTTCTGTGCATGACGATACACGTGAGCAGAAAGGGAATTCCCTCGACTGTAATATTGGGATTCACCGACATTCCGCAGTAATAAAAGTAGTGCGCCTCGGTGGGCGTGGCTTAATCTTTTACAATCATTGAGATGAATGCAACATCACGTGACCAATTCAGCTAATCAGAATGCAGGAATTTCAATGAACACAACGAAAATTTAATTATTGCCCCCAAAATACTTTGTACATGAACTTGTGTTCTATCTGAAAACCTATAGGTGCATTATACGCCTATCCTTTTTAAGCTAGAATATTAACTACTGCTTTTTATACTCTTAGTTCCTGTGTTTATAGTATTTAGTTCAGCATTTGGTTTTAGTTTAGTTTAGTTTAAATTTAGTTTCATTGCCATGTCTTAATTTCATCGTCAGTAAAAAGACGATATTCAGTGTTGTCAATAATCTTGGGGGTTCGTTGCTGTTCATTGTTTACATAACGTGATTGCATGTGTGAGCGCGTCCGTCACGTACACTTGCACTAATAACAGCTGCATTCGCGTTATACTTTTCCGCGTTGTTTGGCCGCGTTCGCGTTAAGGTAAATGTAACTTAGTTTTCATCAATTATTTGACTTTGTTTTATATCAATAAAGTGTTAGTACAGTGTATATACCTGCACCCCCCTGTCAAGTTAGCATTTGTCTGTCCTATACACCAATCCTCATACTTTACCTGTCGGCGATTGTCTCCCTTGGTATTCTCTTCGTCTTGGTGACCGCCTCCGTGGTCTAGTGGTAGAGCGTCCGCCCGGAGAGCGGAAGGTCCGGGGTTCAATCCCTGGCCGCGTCATACAAAAAGACGTTAGAAGATTGTACTTGTTGTTAACCTGTCTCGACATTAAGGGGCTCAAACAATTACTGGTCGGCTCGGAGTCAGTATACTGTGTCTGAGTGGGGTATTCATGTTAAACTGTGGCATGGTATATCAGTGAGCTAGCACTATAAATCGGCATCAGTCCGGAATAGTACAAGCAAGCAGCCACACAAACACACACACGTACATGCACGTCGCTATATAAGTGCAATAATTTTGGACGCGACGTTAAACCCCATTTCACCTCACCTCACCACTGTGAAGGCTGCTGGACCTGTCAGCCTGATAGGATGGCCGACAGCACTCAACACTTTTCTCATGTTGACGTTTCATGTTACAGGCAAATAAATACATTTTAAAGAAACTCCGTCTTCGAAAACTTGTCTGGGACCACTAGAAGCCTGACCCTGCGACATATATACTGAACCGCAAATGAAACGTCACTTCAAGTAATATTGCATGAAAAGTTGTCATTTAAATATCTGGGTAATTTTTGTAAAAGTTTCTAAAATTTGACATTACTTTGTCCGGTAAAAATGAAATTTTATGATAAAGGAACAAAGCAGATGACAATAAAACCGATCGCCCAAACGCATCACGGCAATGGCCATGGTAACCCGATGCATGTGAGTTCCGTGCAAATTGAAATGCACTTGCGTTCCCCCATTTCTTGCCCTATAAAAATCCACCCAGATCGGATAACATTCATTCGTTATTGAATTGCTACCACATGCCAAGATTGACAAGAAATCAGCGACACCAGGCCCTTTGAGGATTGCAAGCTTGACAAACCGCCCGGCAAGTAGCCAATGCATTTCAAGTCCACGTAAGGACCATATACAGGCTCCAGCAACGGTACCAGACCACCAACACTACAGATGACGACCACGTAGTGGAAGACCCAGGGTCACCACCCGACTTCAGGATCGTCAGATTGTGCGACAGCATCTTCAAGATCGTTTTGTTACTGCAGGGGGCACGGGTGGCCCAGTCGTCTGAGGCGCCGAGATTCGCTGTGCAGAGTTGCGTCCCTTGGGCACGCGAGAAACCTATGATTGTGGGTTCGAATCCCGTTTCGCCCCGATTATGTTTCCAGGTTTGTCAGCACCAATACCGTGCTCGTGGGTGTATTCTAAATGGATGATACTGGCAGTCTCCATCAGCAAACTCTACATCATACCCGTGCTCGTGGGTTTCATCGAAGTGGTAAACGTCTGAGACCTGCATCACTTTGGGCTTTCCTCCCACATTAAGCTGACACGCCGCGATATAACTGAAATACTGTTAAAAGCGGCGTTAAACCCAACTCACTCACTCACTCACTGGTACTACAACGCCGTCCAGTGAGAGACGTGAGTGAGTGAGTGAGTTTGGTTTTGCGCCACTTTAAAAAACAATAGATGCAGATCTAAGACGTTTATCACTTCGGAGAGGCGTGTTTTCTTGTACGATGAACAACGACTACGAGTCGTGCAATTCTTATGAGATATCAACAGTATGTACAGCCTCTTTAAGGATGTTAATAAAATGTACAAGCTTTAAAAAAAAATTACCCAAATTTTAATGATGGTGACTCCCTGACTAGAATCCAACCTCGGAAATGTGGCTCAAGTCAAATTTACGAACTGGTTGATTAAGTTTGGTATTTCCCGCAAACTTCACGTTGATTATCTGTACTTTTTCTCTCAATACCATTCTTGGATGCGATCGCTCGGCCACTGGGAATCTGCGTTACTCAGCTAAATCTGTGGGGAACAACTACTCACTGGACAATTTCCTCTAAAAAATAACGTCTTCCAATATAGTTATGACCTCATCAAATTGCGAGCGCATATTCAAATCTCCAGAAATGATTTAAAGATAAAACAAAGTTTTATTGTGAAATAAACCACACTTCGTTCTTCATTGTTCTTTGCGATTTATCGCGTAGCTTTCTTATATTTATATTTAGAATATATGATATTTACGTCATGAAAATACTCTCGGGAAATTGTAGATCGTACACAATACTCACGCTCTTACTCACTTACTCGAGGTTTCCACCAGCAAGGAACAGATATAAGTCATGTATTTGTACGTGACAGGAGACAGCAGGTAATGTCACGTGTCCTTCTGAAGCGAGGACGAGACCAACATGTCCCTGATGAATATGAACAACTGGTACAGTTCAATTGTAGGCAGGGCTCAGAGTAACGCAATCATCGTTAATAGACACGGGCAAGTACCCGTAAACATCATTTGTTACAAGTTCGTCTTTTTCCCGCATTGGACGTACTTGTGCTCACCAGGCAACAGCAGAAAGCAAATGAAGCGATCATAAAATCTGCATAACTGTGTTTGTTGAATTTATGTCGACAAAATAAGATATGTGACTAGCTTCAATAGCGTCACTAAATTTATCACGCTTTGCTGCTATTAATCGATACTTTGTAGCGATCTGACCGATGATAGTGATTTTGAACGATTAAGAAAACAAATATATTGTAAACAGAATTAATTAAGCCTCAATAAAATCCGAATAACATTGTCCTGGTCGTGCTTCTGTTTAATTTAAGTATTGTAGTTTTATGCTGACCAATGAAAAGACGATTTGACGAATATATCGGTTATATATTTAAAGGAGAAGAAGCATTGTAAATACAACGCATCTGTCTGTCTATCTACCTAAATGTTTATGTAGGTTTGACGGACGGTGGGGTAGCCTGGTGATTAAAGCGTTCGTTCGTCACGCCGAATGTCCGGGTTCGACTCTCCACATGGGTACAATATGTGAAGCCCCCTCCTGGTATCCCCCAACCCCCGCCGTGATATTGATGGGATATTGCTAAAAAGGGCGTAAATCAAAACTCACTCACTCGTGTATGTCCAACCAGCTCTCTATTGTACACTGGCGATGATAGAGATATTCACATTTCTCCATCAGTTGCGACTTATCTTTGATCCAACTGTTCTGTTTTCTGTGCAGTCCCGTTGAACGCTGACAATGTCCGTCAAGAAAGTCCCGGATGCTGCAGGATGCACTTTGACCTTGCTGGACGTGGACGGGCGCATGTTCCCCACCTTTCCTGCTGACGTCATCAGGAGCGTCCCCAATCTCAAGATGAGAGACGACGATATTCTTATATGTGGCTACCCGAAATCAGGTAACAATAAATCCACGCTCCAGAATTATCGTCACGAGTAGGCAATCTACGTCATCATTAAGTGACGATTAAAGGGATTAGGCCGCTGCAAATCGACAGTCCTTGCAAATGTGGTCCACATTCAAATTCCACTTTGTGTGTCTGCTAACTCAAATTGTGTTATATTTTGTTATATTTTTATAATAATAATAAAATTAAAATAAAAATTAAAATAAATAAATAAATACAAGGTAAATGCAATGTGAAAACAACATGATAAAAACAAGGCATTCCACAGTTTTCTTAAACGAGCCAAGGATGTGGGTCTTGATCTCAATGTCATTTTGTTGATGGTTCTGTACTGCTGGACGGTACAGAAAATGAGTATCAACCAAGCGAAGTGCCATATCAAATCGGTCCAGACTCAGTTTTTCATGGAGAGGCTATCTGAACGACCACTACATTGAGTTAATGTGCAGTGTGTTGAGAAGATCAGCAACCCCGCAGAGTACTAGTCCTTTGCTTGGATGAAGTCGGCTGGCCTGAAAAGTGAAACAGAAGGCTTCCCATCGAAACCGTCAATGTGTGACTTTGCATCAAAATGTAAATATGAAATGTAGATTATGCAATGAATTTAAACAGACTGACCAACACATTGTCAGTGGATGCCCAGCTTTGGCAAAAACACAGTATCTTAAGCGACATGATGGTGTAGCTCGATCATTTTATTACCGTTTTCGCCATGCTTGCGGTTTTGACACAGAGGTTCATCCATGGTACGACCCGGAATATGTAGAGCGCGTCTTGGAAAATGATAAATACAAAATTCTTTGGAATAGGCCCGTATACAGCGTATGACGGATCCAACCTGATCTTGTCCTTTTACATAAATCGAATGAAATCATTTATATCATTGAATTTTCTGTCCCTTTTGACACTAATGTGATTGATAAGACAGGAAAAACATGGCAAATATGCGGACCTGGCTTTCGAAATGTCACCAAGTTGTCCGACTTCCCATTGTTGCCTTAGGTTTGGTACCTCCCAATATGTTGACTGACATTGGGAGAGTACCCGGGTTTGCTACCAGGAATACAGCCCTTCTGACAATCTGGGTAATGCAGAAGGCTTCAGTGTTGGTAAGTCTTCACATTCTCCGAAAAGTCATGGGTGGGTTTGACTAGGCAGCGCTTCCTGGGAGAAGTCCCATTCGCTGTCTGGGCTGCGTCTAGAGGGGCCCTGACCTGATGATGAGCCTAACCAGCCCTGACTGCCAGGATCACCCAAACTCTCTTTGCTGCATTTTTTTTATTTTAATCTGTAAATAATAATAATAATAAAAATGGGATAAAACAAGGACCGCAGGCTCGGAGTCAGTATACTGTCTGAGAGGGATATCAAGTCTTGAATGTGTTTCCTGGTTCTATTCTAGGCACCCATTGGTTGTTTGAGGTGTCACGTGTTCTGTTGAGCGGGTCATGTGACGATGGAGGGATGGAGAAGAATGACTTGATGATCGAAATGAAGTCACATGATCACCTGGCCAAAATGGCGTCCCCCAGAATATTAAACACTCACGTCCAGTTCGACTCGTTACCCAAGGAGATACATCAGAAGAAGACCAAGATAATATACCTGCTACGCAACCCTAAAGATGCGGCGGTTTCATTTTATAACCACCATCGCAAACTGGTGCAGTATTACGACTATCATGGAATATTCAAGGATTATCTGCCCTTGTGGGTTGAAGGAAAAGGTAGGATTGTTTTGTTTGTTTGTTTGTTGTTTAACGCCGCACTTAGCAATATTCCAGCTATGTGACGGCGGTCTGTAAATAATCGAGTCTGGAGTAGACAACCCAGTGATTGACGTCATGAGCATCGATCCCCGCAATTGGGATACGATGACATACATCAACCACGTCAGCGAGCCTGATCCCGTTAGTTGCCTCTTACAACAAGTATAATCGCCTTTCACGGCAGACATGGGCTGCTAAAGACCTATTCTACCCCGGATCTTCACGGGTGTGGCGAAGTTGTAGGACGATGATGATGGTTATGAGGAGGATGTAGAGAAGTAGGATGGTGATGATGTGGATAAGGAGGTGTTGAGGAGAAGTAGGATGGTGATTGATAGGATAATGGGGATGAGGAGAATGGGGTAGAGGAGAAGTAGGATGAGTGGGAGAAGGTTCAGGAGGAGACGGAGGATGAGGTAGAGGTGATGGAGAAGTAGGACGATGAGGAGTGGAGGAGGATACGTAGGATGATGATAATGATGAGGTGGTGGTGATGGAGACGTTGGATGATGGTGAGGTCGAGTTGGTGGAGAAGTGACATATGTGAAGTGGAGGATGAGAAGTAGGGTGGTGATGATGATGATGGTGGTGGTGAGGATGAGGTGGAGGAAAGAAGCATGAGGATGAAGATGAGGATGAGGATGGTTAGGATGAGGTGGAGGTTGTTAGGATGAGGTGGAGGTTGTTAGGATGAGGTGGAGGAGAAGTGGGATGATGATGATGGTGAGGATGAGGTGGAGGTTGTGAGGATGATGATGGAGGAGGAGAAGCAGGAGGAAGAAGGTTCTCAAACTAACCACTTTCCGAATATGCTGACAACGTATATTTTGTTGTTGCTTTTGATAAATCGTTTGCGGGACATGAGTGAGTCTCCAAGTTGTGTTTAGTCCCTCTCTCAAAGAAACAAATGTAAGCCTTGAAGTGCTGTATGATATGGTGCATTTTGGGAACATTTTGAAAATGGCACAGCCCGACTGTCATGTTCAAGATCTTTTTCCGATGTTAACTGTTTCCCCCAAAAAGATGGTTTTATTTTTCTACCGTCTTTTCTACCGCAGATGGTGATGAGAAATATAGATATTAAATTTCGTGTTTTCTCACTTTTGATTGCGCATTTGACTTACGAGAGAGAATTTATGGATGTGAACTTCGTTATTATGAGGAACACAACGTTTTGGAGTATATTCTTACTCCATCAGGTAAATGAATGCCTGATGAAGGCGTATACTCCGAACCGTTGTGGTCTTCATAATAACGAAGTTGACATCAATACATTCTCTCTCTTATGTTTATCTTTTCTCAATGCCATTCAAAGACTTGCATGACTTGCGGACAATATTCTACTAACTATATCTTCTTGCATCACATGAAGATGAAGATCCACTAGCCTATATGAAAGCCCAGTTTCTGCCATTGCAACCTCAGTTGGCTTGACTCGATCATGGCGCAACCCCGCGTAGAACAAGAGTGGTGGCCCTTGTGATGAAAACGCGCTATCCAATCAGATCGCTGTTCTAATTTGGAATGGCTTTTCAAACATGACTACCATAACAGACTACCTGGTTGATCGGATAACGAAAAGATTTGAGATTTCATCCCTCATAGGCTAACAAAATAACAGATTACCACAGTAAAGAAACTTAATACTGCCATATGTCGCCCTTACAAAAATAAAGGCATACAGACGACACAGCATCACGTAACATGAAACGCTCATTGGGGATTGTCTGAAAATAGCACTGCATCTCAGTCAATGCGATAAGCGTAAAGTCGTAAAGCAATTAAATTTGCACACTGATACATAAGAGTAATTGTGCAAATTTGAACCACTTCGAAAATATTTGTCTTCGCTGAATTTGTGGAATCAATCCAGCACATTCGACAGGCGATGGCTGTGGTCGTAGAAGCGACCATGTTTTCAGAACCAGGATGTTGAATTTGTAAAATGGTCTCTGATTGGACTATCGATATATGTGATAGTCCTCTCATATCTTATCACCGAAAAGAAGGCTTGAAGTGGCAAGGGCAGAAACTATGCTTTGATATAGGCTAGTGGACGCTTTTTCCACGAGAAGATGATGGCCTTGCGGACTTGTGACTTCCTGATGAAAATATCCCCCCTTTGTTTCAGAAATCAGCCGATGATTGAAACAATAATACTAATAATGTCATGATGATATACTGTAAACTACGGTTATGACGAACTCCAAGGGACCACTAATTTTAGTTCGTATTAACCGTGGTTCGTTATAAGCATATATATATAGCATATATACAACAAATGGCCAGGACTAGAAACTAGGTTCGTTATATCGGTCAGTTCGTTATAAGCGTGTTTGTTATCAACGTAGTTTACTTTATTCGTCAACAGTTGACTATGGATCGTGGTTTGATTACGTCCGAAGCTGGCAAGAAGGGCTCACAAGGCACCCGGATGTTCCGTCGATCAGTGTGGTGTATGAAGACATGAAGGAAGTAGGTGACACGATGGCGTGGTTTGTATTTCAGGACATAGAGTATGTACAGATTAAAACAAGAGTACAGTAAGCAGAGTTTACAGTGTGTCTTGTCACGTCTGAATATAACACGATCACGATACGCAGATGTGACTAGCTTCCGGTTCACGATATTCATTGCGTTTTACATTACTGCAGCATATATGCACAGATTGTCGACCGGTCGTACTGTCAATATAAGTAAGCTATCACTTTCCGGATGATCCCCGATTATTCAGTGTATATGTCAACATTGGATTATAATAAATGACCGCATCCGTGGTCTAGTGGTAGAGCGTCCGCCCGGAGAGAGGAAGGTCCGGGCTTCGATCCTCGGCCGCGTCATACTAAAAGACGTTAAACTATGACTTGTTGTTACCCTGCCTTGCGCTCGACATTAAGGGGCTAAAACTGGTCGGCTCGGAAACAGTATATACTGTGTCTCAATGGGGTATTCATGTTAAACTGCGGCTTGGTATCTCAATTGGTGTGAAGCCAATTTCTGGTGTCCCCCGCCGTGACATTGCTGGAATATTGCTATAAGCGGCATGAAACCATACTCACTCACTATGTAAGTAGGCTAGCACTAATAATCGGCATCAGTCCGGACTAGTACCAAGAGCCACACACACACGTGCATGCACGTCGCTACATAAGTGCAATAACATAGGACGCGACGTTAAACCCCATTCCCCCTCACCTTCACCTTGTTGTCAATGACGCGGAACTTCCCTCTTCGTGAGTGAGGACATAGGGGAATTATCTGATCAGGATAATCAGCGTCGAGGATTCTAGATGCCCGGTCCGACTGAACAAAGCATTCAAACAATTATCTGTTTTCTGTTCCTCAAAACGAATATGATCGAGGAATTCGGAATGCAAATAACATAAAACCGCGCTATCATATTGTTGTGAATCTTTGATACAATTTGTCGTTTGTAGACCCCATCTCATCCACACTCGAAGGTGACTCCACACTCAACTGAATCAAGAACCTTTCATTGTCAATTGGAGGTCAAGGATCGCTTAGTGTTCACCTGACGTGACCTTCTATTGAGGTCATACCTCATATGCCTGAAACCCCAGTTGGGAGATATCCCAGTTGCGAGGTACCCCAGTTGGGAGATATCCCAGTTGGGAGGTACCCCAGTTGGGAGGTACCCCATTTGCGAAGTACCCCAGTTGGGAGATACCCCAGTTGCGAAGTACCCCAGTTGGGAGATACCCCAGTTGCGAAGTACCCCAGTTGGGAGATACCCCAGTTGCGAAGTACCCCAGTTGGGAGATACCCCAGTTGCGAAGTACCCCAGTTGGGAGATACCCCAGTTGCGAAGTACCCCAGTTGCGAAGTACCCCAGTTGGGAGATACCCCAGTTGGGAGATATCCCAGTTGCGAAGTACCCCAGTTGGGAGATACCCCAGTTGCGAAGTACCCCAGTTGGGAGATACCCCAGTTGCGAAGTACCCCAGTTGGGAGATACCCCAGTTGCGAAGTACCCCAGTTGCGAAGTACCCCAGTTGGGAGATACCCCAGTTGGGAGATACCCCAGTTGCGAAGTACCCCAGTTGCGAAGTACCACAGTTGGGAGATACCCCAGTTGCGAAGTACCCAAGTTGGGAGATACCCCAGTTGCGAAGTACCCCAGTTGGGAGATACCCCAGTTGCAAAGTACCCCTGTTGGGAGATACCCCAGTTGGGAGATACCCCAGTTGGGAGATATGCCAGTTGGGAGGTACCCCAGTTGGGAGGTACCCCATTTGCGAAGTACCCCAGTTGGGAGATACCCCAGTTGCGAAGTACCCCAGTTTGGAGATACCCCAGTTGCGAAGTACCCCAGTTGCGAAGTACCCCAGTTGGGAGATACCCCAGTTGCGAAGTACCCCAGTTGGGAGATACCCCAGTTGCGAAGTACCCCAGTTGGGAGATACCCCAGTTGAGAGGTACCCCAGTTGGGAGGTACCCCATTTGCGAAGTACCCCAGTTGGGAGATACCCCAGTTGCGAAGTACCCCAGTTGGGAGATACCCCAGTTGCGAAGTACCCCAGTTGCGAAGTACCCCAGTTGGGAGGTACCCCAGTTGGGAGATACCCCAGTTGGGAGATACCCCAGTTGGGAGATACCCCAGTTGCGAAGAACCCCAGTTGGGAGATACCCCAGTTGCGAAGTACCCCAGTTGGGAGGTACCCCAGTTGGGAGATACCCCAGTTGGGAGATACCCCAGTTGCGAAGAACCCCAGTTGGGAGATACCCCAGTTGCGAAGTACCCCAGTTGCGAAGTACCCCAGTTGGGAGATACCCCAGTTGCGAAGCACCCCAGTTGGGAGATACCCCAGTTGCGAAGTACCCCAGTTTCGAAGTACCCCAGTTGGGATATACCCCAGTTGGGAAATACCCCAGTTGCGAAGTACCCCAGTTGGGAGATATCCCAGTTGCGAGGTACCCCAGTTGGGAGATATCCCAGTTGGGAGGTACCCCAGTTGGGAGGTACCCCATTTGCGAAGTACCCCAGTTGGGAGATACCCCAGTTGCGAAGTACCCCAGTTGGGAGATACCCCAGTTGCGAAGTACCCCAGTTGCGAAGTACCCCAGTTGGGAGATACCCCAGTTGGGAGATACCCCAGTTGCGAAGTACCCCAGTTGGGAGATACTCCAGTTGCGAAGTACCACAGTTGGGAGATACCCCAGTTGCGAAGTACCCAAGTTGGGAGATACCCCAGTTGCGAAGTACCCCAGTTGGGAGATACCCCAGTTGCGAAGTACCCCAGTTGGGAGATACCCCAGTTGAGAGGTACCCCAGTTGGGAGGTACCCCATTTGCGAAGTACCCCAGTTGGGAGATACCCCAGTTGCGAAGTACCCCAGTTGGGAGATACCCCAGTTGCGAAGTACCCCAGTTGCGAAGTACCCCAGTTGGGAGGTACCCCAGTTGGGAGATACCCCAGTTGGGAGATACCCCAGTTGGGAGATACCCCAGTTGCGAAGAACCCCAGTTGGGAGATACCCCAGTTGCGAAGTACCCCAGTTGGGAGGTACCCCAGTTGGGAGATACCCCAGTTGCGAAGAACCCCAGTTGGGAGATACCCCAGTTGCGAAGTACCCCAGTTGCGAAGTACCCCAGTTGGGAGATACCCCAGTTGCGAAGCACCCCAGTTGGGAGATACCCCAGTTGCGAAGTACCCCAGTTTCGAAGTACCCCAGTTGGGATATACCCCAGTTGGGAAATACCCCAGTTGCGAAGTACCCCAGTTGGGAGATATCCCAGTTGCGAGGTACCCCAGTTGGGAGATATCCCAGTTGGGAGGTACCCCAGTTGGGAGGTACCCCATTTGCGAAGTACCCCAGTTGGGAGATACCCCAGTTGCGAAGTACCCCAGTTGGGAGATACCCCAGTTGCGAAGTACCCCAGTTGGGAGATACCCCAGTTGCGAAGTACCCCAGTTGGGAGATACCCCAGTTGCGAAGTACCCCAGTTGGGAGATACCCCAGTTGCGAAGTACCCCAGTTGCGAAGTACCCCAGTTGGGAGATACCCCAGTTGGGAGATATCCCAGTTGCGAAGTACCCCAGTTGGGAGATACCCCAGTTGCGAAGTACCCCAGTTGGGAGATACCCCAGTTGCGAAGTACCCCATTTGGGAGATACCCCAGTTGCGAAGTACCCCAGTTGCGAAGTACCCCAGTTGGGAGATACCCCAGTTGGGAGATACCCCAGTTGCGAAGTACCCCAGTTGGGAGATACTCCAGTTGCGAAGTACCACAGTTGGGAGATACCCCAGTTGCGAAGTACCCAAGTTGGGAGATACCCCAGTTGCGAAGTACCCCAGTTGGGAGATACCCCAGTTGCAAAGTACCCCTGTTGGGAGATACCCCAGTTGGGAGATACCCCAGTTGGGAGATATGCCAGTTGGGAGGTACCCCAGTTGGGAGGTACCCCATTTGCGAAGTACCCCAGTTGGGAGATACCCCAGTTGCGAAGTACCCCAGTTTGGAGATACCCCAGTTGCGAAGTACCCCAGTTGCGAAGTACCCCAGTTGGGAGATACCCCAGTTGCGAAGTACCCCAGTTGGGAGATACCCCAGTTGCGAAGTACCCCAGTTGGGAGATACCCCAGTTGAGAGGTACCCCAGTTGGGAGGTACCCCATTTGCGAAGTACCCCAGTTGGGAGATACCCCAGTTGCGAAGTACCCCAGTTGGGAGATACCCCAGTTGCGAAGTACCCCAGTTGCGAAGTACCCCAGTTGGGAGGTACCCCAGTTGGGAGATACCCCAGTTGGGAGATACCCCAGTTGGGAGATACCCCAGTTGCGAAGAACCCCAGTTGGGAGATACCCCAGTTGCGAAGTACCCCAGTTGGGAGGTACCCCAGTTGGGAGATACCCCAGTTGGGAGATACCCCAGTTGCGAAGAACCCCAGTTGGGAGATACCCCAGTTGCGAAGTACCCCAGTTGCGAAGTACCCCAGTTGGGAGATACCCCAGTTGCGAAGCACCCCAGTTGGGAGATACCCCAGTTGCGAAGTACCCCAGTTTCGAAGTACCCCAGTTGGGATATACCCCAGTTAGGAAATACCCCAGTTGCGAAGTACCCCAGTTGGGAGATACCCCAGTTGCGAAGTACCCCAGTTGGGAGATACCCCAGTTGGGAGATATCCCAGTTGGGAGGTACCCCAGTTTGGAGGTACCCCATTTGCGAAGTACCCCAGTTGGGAGATACCCCAGTTGCGAAGTACCCCAGTTGGGAGATACCCCAGTTGCGAAGTACCCCAGTTGCGAAGTACCCCAGTTGGGAGATACCCCAGTTGGGAGATACCCCAGTTGCGAAGTACCCCAGTTGGGAGATACCCCAGTTGCGAAGTACCCCAGTTGGGAGATACCCCAGTTGCGAAGTATCCCAGTTGCGAAGTACCCCAGTTGGGAGATACCCCAGTTGCGAGGTACCCCAGTTGGGAGGTACCCCATTTGCGAAGTACCCCAGTTGGGAGATACCCCAGTTGCGAAGTACCCCAGTTGGGAGATACCCCAGTTGCGAAGTACCCCAGTTGCGAAGTACCCCAGTTGGGAGGTACCCCAGTTGGGAGATACCCCAGTTGGGAGATACCCCAGTTGGGAGATACCCCAGTTGCGAAGTACCCTTGTGGGAGGTACCCCAGTTGTTAGGCAGTTGAGAGATGGCTTGTCAAAACATATAAGATTTACCGGTTGTGGTAATGGACCACAAAAAACGAACATCAGAACTTGGTGACTTGAAAAATAAGCACCCAATTCTGAATTTTTTTAAAATAAAGACAAAAGAATAAGAGGTGATTGTGATCTCAGTATATCAGATGTCTATGAACACATTCAGATTATAACTTTATAATGAGGACGAATTATTGGAAAATGTGTCACCTGAGAGTTATGATTAAAAAAATTCTCCCATAACATCAGAGGAAATAAATGTAGCTATTATGAAAAGTGAAAAAACACCTGGTGTGGACAAGTTTTTGATTGAATATGCAGATGGTTTGATTGTACCCATGAAGAATCCGGGGTAGAATTGGTCTTCATCAACCCATGCTTGTTGTAAGAGGCGACAAACGGGATCGGGTGGTCAGCCTTGCTGACTTGGTTGATGCATATCATCGTGTCCCAAATGCGTGGATCGATGCTCATGATATCAATCATTGGATTGTCTGGTCCAAACTCGATTAATTACAGATAGCTTGAGTTTTGCTGATATCTATAACTGTTCTAATTTTTTTCTGGCATTTCCTGCATTTAGACGGTTCATAAGTTGGATAAAACACCCCTTCCTCGCTTTCGGTTGAAACTGTAAAACCTTGTTCTCGGGAAAAGACCTCGGGCCTTTGCTCGCGGTTTTACATTTTCAACCAAAACCTCGGAGTCGTGTTTTAGCCTTAACTTCGACACCAGTGTATAAATACTCTCTGCTTGTTTATCATTTTAAAGATGGGGGGCACAGGTGGCCCAGTTGTCTAAGGCGCCGCGATTCGCTGTGCAGAGTTGCGTCCCTTCGGCACGCCAGAAACCTATGATTGTGGGTTCGAATCCCTGTTCGCCCCGATTATGTTTCTAGGTTTGTCAGCACCATACCCGTGCTCGTGGTTTTCACCGAAGTGGTAAACGTCTTAGACCTGCATCACCTCGGGCTTTCCTCCCACATTAAACTGACACGCCGCGATATAACTGGAATACTGTTAAAAGCGGCGTTAAACCCCAACTCGCTCACTCACTCACTCACTCACTCTTGCATCACATGAAGATGAAGATCCAGTAGCCTAAGTATATGGAAGCCCAGTTTCTGCCATTGCCATTGCAACCTCAGTCACTCACTCACTGGATTTCATCAGTTTTACTATATCAGCATGCATACCCATAGTATTCAAACCTGGTATGCGTGTCCCATTGTTATGTCGTTTTAGGGTAATTTCCACTTTTGATCAATAGATAGATGCTTGTCACACGGTGGATTTTTTTATTTCTAGGATGCCCTGTCCCAGATACGAAGAATATCTCAATTCCTGGGTTTGTCCCACGATGACGTATTTTTACGCAAAGTAGACGACTGGTGCTCCTTTAAGCGCATGCGCGAACGGAAGGGGAAGTTTGAGATACCTTCTGACGGGCAACCAATCATGTATCGCAAAGGTATGCATTGTATAGTATTCAAAGTTTGCTAAGGATCACCACTTTAATAGAGGTTATCACGCTTGTGTGTTTGGGGATGGTAAATATCCTGCATTAGGAATAAACATTGTATTTAGCGAGCTTTGGCGAGCTAAATACATAGTGTTTATTCCTAATACAGGATATTTACCATCCTCAAACACACAAGCGTGATAACCTCTTTATCATATAATGTCATTCTTTAATTCTGTGCTTGAAAATCTGGAAATCAGTTTTCCTGGAATGCGCGCATTAATATTTATTACGTCACAGGGTAAGTGATGTGTCAGTCGGAAAGTGACAGTAGCCAATATAGTTCCAACTGAAATCTGTTTTTTATACAATGGCGAAGCAACATATACGCAAAAAACAATTTGTTTTTTATTGCCCTTCGCGGCAATCCATCGGTCTGTCCACTAGAGTAACTGCCCTTTGTCAAAGGGAAGCTACTCTAACCCTAGTCTATGAGACGTCACGGCCACGGTCAGACGTTGTTGACAGTCGGTTTGTCCTGTCATAACCTTAAGAAGTGTAGTCAGATGTACACACCGCGATAAAGCAAAACAAGGTAACAATTCAAACATATTTCGCCTAAATCCAACTATTTTAAATTGTGGACAAGGTTTCAACCCGCCGAGGTCTACAAGCACAGATATGGCTACTGATCCCGCTTGGCTAAGCCTCGTGCAAAATGTTTTCGAAATTTATATCTCCAAAGTTGCCAAAACTTATAAAATGCTTTAGCTACGTCACAGTTAGACACTGATTTTCAGTATATTAGACTGTTCTTTTGATAATAATAGCAATTATCCCTGTAGTTTATCTAGATTCCCGATGGTTAATTCTGACTCGATCGCCGAATGACGAGGGCGACGCCATGTTTGTTTATAAACAGTGAAAGTAGTCCCTACTTGACATTTGATATTTGCATCTCTATCCGCATATGACCCAAACGGATATCGTTTTTATCCGTTGGCTTTATCCTGCCGAGAAACCTACCCATTATATGATAAAAAGGTAATACGTGTCAGAGTGTACATCTTTTGGAATAGCCAAAGACAATATTGCGTGAAGACATGTTAAGAACAAAAGTCCGTTATCATGTGCAATACAATACCAAGAAACAACATGTGACTAATAATAAGTCAGATCACCCGTCAAAATGAGAGTATCTGACCAAAACTTTAAAAAGGAAAAAATCACGAGTTCGTGTTTGATCCACGTGATGTGATCACAGCCTGGCACCGTCGTCTCGAGTTGCCGGAGGGACCGGGCGTCGTGATAGGCCGATCTGCAGCTCGTTCCACATGTTTCTTGGTTGGTTAACGCCGCACTCAGCAATAGTCCAGCTACATGACGGCAGTCTGCAAATAATCGAGTATGGACCAGACAATCCAGTGGTTGATATCATGAGCATCGATCCATGAAATTGGGATATGATGACATGCATCACTTTAGGCTTTTCTCCCACATCGAGCTGAAATACCGTGAAAACTGTTGAAAACGGCGTTGAACCACACTAACTCACTCACTCTCAATTTCAGGAGAGGTGGGCGACTGGAAAAACTGGTTTACAGTGGCTGACAACGAGTGGTTTGATCAAGTGTTCACAGAAAAGATGACAGATTTTGATCTGTCACTCAGATACACCATATGACATTAAGGACAACTTTAAAACAGCATTACACACATGCATACACAATATATACATACCCTTGACCATAAGCTTCATTACGGAAGTGACGTCATGACCTCCATCCTCCAGCGACCAAGCTCAAAATTTCTGTTGCTAATGACCTTGAACTCACGACCAATCAAAATTTTTATTCTTAACGAGTGGTCGGCAAATTGCTTACAAAATGGCGGCCTTTTTTGAGCGAACACTCGATATATTTTGCAACAATGATTTTATTCAGAATAACCTTCTAGCTGGACAAGATGTTGGTACACGAATACAAGTTGTATAGTGACTTCCATGTACAGAGTTCCTGTACCTAATATCGTGTAATTTGATTGGATGACTATTTGCGTCGTGTCATTCGAGCTGCACTCGAAAAGAAGCTGTAGTTGCGAATGGGACCAGACCACCATTTCACAAATCCATCTTAGCGATACTGTCAGTATTAAAGAGTTACGATCGTCTTAGCGCTGAAATCGCTTTGTGGAACGTGGCCAAGGGTACCTTTCATACTGAAATGGAGATACGATACACTGGAATCGAGAGGATGCTTGAACATTGTGACACTTTACACATGAACGCCAAGGGTATGTATCATAATGTATTGGATACTGGAGGATGCATAGTGCAGTGCTGCTTGAACATTGTGACACGTTCGCACTTGAACTCCATTATCAAAAGAAAACAACAGGGTGTTGACTTGTCAGGCGTATTGTACAGTCACCATCGTGCTGTCATTGCTTGAGCATATTATTGTATGAATATACACCCACGTGCTGAATGGCGGGAAGTATAGGGTTGTTAACATTATCAAATATATTTTTGTACTAGTCCAAGTAGGACATTAATAAACAAGCATGTTACTGTTTTATAAGTTTGCTCTTTAACGACGCACTCGGCAATCTTCAAACGATAAGAGACGCAGGCAGATCACCACTGCGCTTTGCGTTGACAAGCTTTGATGGATCTCATGATCAGCGAGAAATATCAGAGTAACTTCCCTTTGTTTTACAATCGCGGAGGAAATGAAATCTTTTTGTGCTTGAACTTTTTATGCGGTTTTTTAAAGTAAAGATCAGCGGTAATAATAAAGGAGTAATTGTTTTTCAACATTTGGACTTTGAAAGAGCGGCGCATCCGTAAACCAAGTAATAAAAAATGTCGCCCCAGACTGTAACCTTTCATTGATGGTACATTGAGCTTACATTAATGACAACTACCAATTTAACGTCGCGCTTCGATCCGCCATCTCCCAATAGCCCATACAACACGCCCAGTATAAAACTCGATAGGGGCGAACAGACTTATCCTATTATTCAAGATCTAGCATTTTGATTTTCCTTTTGGAGACATCAAGTTTGGTGTCGAACTTACATCGCAGAACTCGAGCAAGGTCATGAGCTAAAATAGCTCCACTTTGAAAGTTACAAATTTGATGTCAAGCATTGCGCAGCTCGATCTGCACATTTATCTAATCTGGGTCATGTGTTTTAACAGTAAATAACAACAGCTGTGTCATCTAACAATATAACGCATCACTGATTCAATTGCCAATCAGACATGCGAAAGGCAGACACAAGAATAAATGCATGAATGTTGTTTTACCTGGTACAAACAATGCTTTATTACCCACGTGGTGAAGATACAGGTGGTAAGATACTAAATCTGCACGACACAAGTTTGTCGTACAACGTTGACGGCGTTTTATTCGTTTTGATTGGATAACCGTGACCTCTGTCACACCGGAACTACTTAAATTTTAATTCATAAAAAATTGCGAGACGTCATTCTATTTGCAACTACAATGCAGAACTGAAGCAATCTCATGAAAGCGAGAGACGTTTACACACACTTTACTAAACCAAACAAGATAGTCACACACACTTCGCTTTGCATTCTGTATTAATTATGCACAGAGCTACTACAGTCATTACATAATCGAGCTATATCCATTTGCAATGTACTGGGTCCTACTACCGATCGATGACCCGTGAACATCCGGGGTAGAATGGGTCTTCAGAAACCCATGCTTGCCGTAAAAGGTGACTATGCTTGTCGTAAAAGGCGTCTAACGGGATCGGGTGGTCAGGCTCGCTGACTTGGTTGATGCATGTCATCGATCCTAATTGCGTGGATCGATGCTAATGATATTAATCACTGGATTGTCTGGTCCAGACTCGACTATTTACAGACCGCCGTCATATAGCTGGAATATTGCTGAGTGCGGCGTAAAACAAACCAACCAAAATACTACCGATCGATAGATCGAGGGTCCCTATCTGCTTCACGTACCCAACCACTTTCTCGACTTTCAATTTGATTTGAAATAAAGGGATAAGCGTGCTGAAATGAAGTCAGTTTCTAACTATCTGGATATATATCTGGACTTACGTTGAATGCTCTGGTTGTGCCATTAGTGTCCCCTTCGAAGCGTATTTTGTGGCATTGTTTCGTGATCGGTGTTTGTTCATGAATAAACATACACGACTGCACGACCAGATCACTCAAAGTGAACAGTTCCGATACAAATCATTTAAAAACTCCGTGGAAGTGTGCCTGACTTCTGATTTTGTGGCCCGGAACATTCCAAATGTGAACAATAACATTCCCTAGCGTAAAACGCCGTGAGTAGATCACGGTTGTCATATTCCGATGGTGACCTTGCCCTTCGTTCGAAGCTGTCACTGACATGCAAGCAGACTTGAGTTTGTTGATTTTAACGTTTTCGGTATCGGGTCGAACAGTTAACATGAATGTCTTTGGCGAGCACTCTGATTTCCCTCTTCCAAAATAGTATGGACAGGATATAAATTCAGCTGATAGATCAAGGAAACCGCAAAGTTTTGATTGCACAGCCGGGAACTCCGGCCGATATTCAAAGCGCGGCGCTAAATTGACTTACCATAAGTTGAATACATTCTTGAAATAAGATCTTGAGCGTTGAAGCTGTCATGTTTGCACACACAGTAGCAGGAACATGTTGTTAATGCGTAGTGCCCATATTTGGGCATATATCAATATTCATGCGAATCCAGATTTGCAACCGGTTTCAGTTTGATCTGTCAACGAAAAAAGGTTTTGTTTATTTACACTTAAATACATATTTTGACATGGATAATAAATGAAATACCACACCAATTCTCGTTAGATACCATTTTTACGAAAGTCCACTCTTTTCGTAAAAATGGTATCTGACGAGAATGAGTGTAGTACTCTCTATATTGCACACACAAAACTATCGCCGCTCAGACATGTCACGCAGCAAGGTCGCAGCTCTGTACCTTTATCAATGGTACCTGTTCACTAAACCGTATATTGCGTTCACTGTCAGTGTGTGAGATCACCGACTGCCAAGTCTTACCTGTAGAAGTCACCGGCGTACATAAAGCGAAGTAGTTATGTAGAAGTCACCCAGACGGGATGTTCACTGGTCAATGCATATTATTACGAGCGGGTATGGACACAGTTACGGGTGGATGAACGGGTCGGTGTTCACGGACTTCACCCTCGTTTGCTGGGCAGTTCGAAACAGTGCCAATCCACACCAAAGAGGCAAGAGTTACTTCCCTTTAGCATAATAATTTATGCTTGATTTTAAGCCCAGTAAAAGCGTACAATGAGTCCCAGGGTACTTCATAGGAGGTTGAATGACGTGTTGTGAAAATTATGATTATTGATTTGTTATCAGAAGGACCACACCCACTTCCCCACCCTGCTCAATCCCACCCCATTAAATATAGACTACCCTTCCACACCGATGCTTGTCGTAAGAGGCGACTAATGGGATCGGGTGGTCAGGCTCGCTGACTTGGTTGATGGATGTCATCGTATCCCAATTGAGTGGATAGATGCTTATGATTTCAGGCACTGGACTGTCTGGTCCAGACTCGATTGTTTACAGACCGCCGTCATATAGCTGGAGTATTGCCGAGTGCGGCGTTAAACAACAAACAAACCGATGGGCCTACCAGATATAAGATATGTTGTCACTGTCCATAAACTCGGCCGCCTCCTTGGTACAGTGGTAGAGTGTCTGCCAGAAGAGACCAAAAGACGTTAAAACATGGTACTTGTTGTTACCCTGCCTGGTGATCGGCATTAAGGAGCTTAACAGCTTAATAAGGACTGGTCTGCTCGGAGTCAGTATACTGTGTCTGAGTGGGGTATTCATGCATTATAAAATCCGGACTAGTACAAGCAGCGCCCACATCCATCAAGTCTCGCCCAGTCGTCTAAGTCGCCGCTATGCAGAGTTGCGTCCCTTGGGCACACAAAGAACCTATGATTGTCGTTCGAATCCCGGTTCGCCCCAATTATAATTTTCTAGATTTGACAGCACCATACCCGTGCTCGTGGGTTTCACCGAAGTGGTGAACGTCTGAGACCTGCATCACTTCGGGCTTTCCTTCCCACATCAAGCTGACACGCCGCGATATAACTGGAATACTGTTAAAGGCGGCGTTAAACACAACTCACTCACTCAGCAAGGAATATTGCTTGTTGACTGTACTATGACATGTTATATTTGGTCATTGTATATAATAAATATTTTCCACACGCTCCTATTCCTCTTTATCTTATCCTACACAGGCGGGGCGGTCGGGTAGCCTAGTGGTTAAAGCGTTCGCTCGTCACGCCGAAGACCCGGGTTCGATTCCCGACATGGGTACAATGTGCGAAGCCCATTTCCGGTGTCCCCCGCCGTGATATTGCTGGAATATTGCTAAAAGCGGCGTAAAATCAAACTCACTCACTCACTCCTACACAGGCAGGTAGGTCTACTGTGTTTCTGAAGGGAGAAGCTTAATACCCCTCTAATCACTGTTGCATAACTTTTGATAACACTGAAGAAGACACAAACTGTGGACGAAAGTATCCATGTGAGCGGCACCCAACACTTATCCCATTTAACATAAAATTAATAATAGTTGAAATATTTCATCCATCACAACTTTAAATTCAAGAAAATGGTAATGTCAACGGCAATACATTTAAGCGGATGTGTCATTGTCGACTCCGTGTTTCGATTTGTAGAGATATTTGTTACATATTTAAATTTTGAATTTTAAACTGCAATCTAAGGGGTCTAAGATGTAAATGAGGCCATAAAGATTTGTACGATGCAAAATCAACTCAGGGAAGGACAAGAAGCGACCTCAGTGTGATCATGTTTATTATGGTCCGAGTTTGTTGTGACTAAATGACCGGTAGGATGAGATGGCAATGTGGTTGGTAACCTTCTAGCGCCTCACAGGCAGCTTGGGTTGTATACTCCCTAGGGAGCTGAGAATGCTGGTTGAGTGCACAGTAATAATAGTGTAGCGTTTTGAGCTATGGTGTGGATATAGCGCAAATAGGTCTATTATTATTACTACTACTATTATTATCATTATTACGGTCATATACCCACCACTCCAGTAAGGCTACTATTCAGACTGTGTACAGGCAGCATTCTCTGGCAGGCAGTTAAGAAAAAAAATAATTTTATAATAAACTGCAAATTATTCGCTACAGAAGCACTGGCTGGAAAACACATTCAATTGATATCAAAGAATGACATATTTTTGCATGCGTGCTCTTTTTTAAAGTTTCAACAGCTTGTGCTAGCAGAGAATGTGAATCGCTATTTAGAGCTTCTATTGGAGAGGTTTCTCAGAAGTTGTTTACTGTAGAAGTGTGCAGATAGTATCCTTCCCTGCCGTCTGTGTAGTGGTAACCAGAATGGTTGGACGCCGTTAACACACTACTCATCATATCTCGGTGTGCGTTACCAACAATATTGCATATACTGAAGGTCGCGCAATAATTTGGTGTAAGGTATCTTGGTATGCGCCAACGTTAAATCTGAGATTAATGTTACACTATCACCGTCAGGGACAGATCTACACTACGAAGGTAACAATGTAGGCAGGCAATAATTGTTATTTAATGCAATGCGTTTTCTGTCTTTACAAACGGTTGTTAATTATTGCTAGCCGAAAGGGTTTTGAGGGTTTGGATTATGAAAATATTCAATCTATGTATTTAGAATATAACAATCTCATTAAAAGCAGACCTTAGTTCCCGCTACCGCCAAACAAAGATCTGAAGACATCCCATTAGGGGTCACGTCAGAACGACCTTTCATCCGACCAATCAGTGCGTCGCTTACCAGATTATGAGAGTGACAGTCGGAATGTGATTTCTAATCATTCAATCTCGAAATCTTTAACATGGGGTATTCCGAACGATAGTTACGGGTTTAACGACTGAATCCTTACAATCTAGACCATCTGTTAGCCATTCAAGAATGTTTTTTTGTTCAGGTTTCAAATTTGTAATGGAGAATTTGTCAAAATATTTTTCGAAGCGTAGTCGCCAATTTGAAATTTGTGCCGTAAAGCACGAGAAAGCTGCCTTCTGATTGGTCATTCCATTGGTCGGTCAAAGTTCGCGCAAGGTCGGTCTGACGTGACCCGGAATGGGATGTCCTCAGATCTTTGTTTAGCGGTAGCGAGAACTAAGATCTGATTTTAATGAGATTGAGAATATAATAACGTATAAGTGAATCTCAGTATACGTGTGCGTAGTTTTAAATGTATACATTTCATACCATATTTGTTAGGTAAAAGCTACTTCTTGATTCCATATCGATAGTCCAATCAGAGAACGTTTCACAAAATCAGCATCCACGACTGGTACACATTCGTATGTAAGTGATTTAACGCTGCCTGTCTTTGTTGACGCGAATATGTCTCTTTAATCTTTTGACACCAGCAACGATTGCCTATGTTTTTGTGTCAGGCATGAAATCGCGAATGTTTTCGTTATCCGATAGAGCAGATCGTCGCCTATGGTAGCCGCCATCTTTGTGAGGCTATATGAGATAAGAACAGCGATCTGATTGGATATTGCGTTTTCATAACAAGGGGGCACTGATCTATGCGAGGTGACGCCAGGGTCGAGCCAAGAAAAGTTGCCTTGATGTGGCAAGGGTACAAACAAGGCTTTGCAATAGCCTCGGGAAGGTGGTCTCAATACTTCACAATTATGACTGGCTGATAAAATCTTCAGTTGATGAGACCTCCCACGTAAGTGTCCTCAGATCTTGAAAGAGGTCTCATGTCCGAGTAAAATATCTTATTTTGGGGAGTGCAACTTGTTGTATTTAATTAATTAACTTTAACAAATTCAAGTTGACAAGTTTATAAGTCGGCGAGTGCAAGAATGTCGCGCGTGTTGACCAATTGTAAACCCGTTGTAAACCAATTTTAACGTTTTCGAACATGAACAAGTTGATGCCAGCCATGTTATACCACCACTGGATCCTGGCTGGACAGATATGGAATAGCTATCAAGTTGCAGTTATTTATTCGGAATCAGATCCAGAAGTATGCGACGTCGCTCATTCCATATCAGCACTTGGATGACGGATGACATACAGATGACATACAGCTGACACACAAACACTCTTTTGAATATTGCCGAGTGTGTCTTTAAAGAACAAACTTATAAAATACTATGCTTGTTTATTAATGTCCTACCTATACATGTACAAAAGTATAATTTATAATGTAATTAAAACAACCCCATTCTTCCCGACAGTCAGCACGTGGGTGTATGTTCATACATTATTATGCACTGCCAGTATCGCTAAGATGGATTTGTGAAATGGTGGTTTGGTCCCATTCGCAACTACAGCTTCTTTTCGAGTGCAGCTCGAATGTCACGACGCAAATAGTCATCCAATCAAATTACACGATAATGGGTACAGGAACTCTGTACATGGAAGTAACTTTACAACTTGTATTCGTGTACCAACATCTTGTCCAGCTAGAAGGTTATTCTGAGTAAAAGCATTGTTTTAAAATATATCGAGTGTTCGCTCGAAAAATCACAACTTTAAATTCAAGAAAATGGTAATGTCAACGGCAATACATTTAAGCGGATGTGTCATTGTCGACTCCGTGTTTCGATTTGTAGAGATATTTGTTACATATTTAAATTTTGAATTTTAAACTGCAATCTAAGGGGTCTAAGATGTAAATGAGGCCATAAAGATTTGTACGATGCAAAATCAACTCAGGGAAGGACAAGAAGCGACCTCAGTGTGATCATGTTTATTATGGTCCGAGTTTGTTGTGACTAAATGACCGGTAGGATGAGATGGCAATGTGGTTGGTAACCTTCTAGCGCCTCACAGGCAGCTTGGGTTGTATACTCCCTAGGGAGCTGAGAATGCTGGTTGAGTGCACAGTAATAATAGTGTAGCGTTTTGAGCTATGGTGTGGATATAGCGCAAATAGGTCTATTATTATTACTACTACTATTATTATCATTATTACGGTCATATACCCACCACTCCAGTAAGGCTACTATTCAGACTGTGTACAGGCAGCATTCTCTGGCAGGCAGTTATGAAAAAAAATAATTTTATAATAAACTGCAAATTATTCGCTACAGAAGCACTGGCTGGAAAACACATTCAATTGATATCAGGCGTAGCCATTAAAAGAATGACATATTTTTGCATGCGTGCTCTTTTTTAAAGTTTCAACAGCTTGTGCTAGCAGAGAATGTGAATCGCTATTTAGAGCTTCTATTGGAGAGGTTTCTCAGAAGTTGTTTACTGTAGAAGTGTGCAGATAGTATCCTTCCCTGCCGTCTGTGTAGTGGTAACCAGAATGGTTGGACGCCGTTAACACACTACTCATCATATCTCGGTGTGCGTTACCAACAATATTGCATATACTGAAGGTCGCGCAATAATTTGGTGTAAGGTATCTTGGTATGCGCCAACGTTAAATCTGAGATTAATGTTACACTATCACCGTCAGGGACAGATCTACACTACGAAGGTAACAATGTAGGCAGGCAATAATTGTTATTTAATGCAATGCGTTTTCTGTCTTTACAAACGGTTGTTAATTATTGCTAGCCGAAAGGGTTTTGAGGGTTTGGATTATGAAAATATTCAATCTATGTATTTAGAATATAACAATCTCATTAAAAGCAGACCTTAGTTCCCGATACCGCCAAACAAAGATCTGAAGACATCCCATTAGGGGTCACGTCAGAACGACCTTTCATCCGACCAATCAGTGCGTCGCTTACCAGATTATGAGAGTGACAGTCGGAATGTGATTTCTAATCATTCAATCTCGAAATCTTTAACATGGGGTATTCCGAACGATAGTTACGGGTTTAACGACTGAATCCTTACAATCTAGACCATCTGTTAGCCATTCAAGAATGTTTTTTTGTTCAGGTTTCAAATTTGTAATGGAGAATTTGTCAAAATATTTTTCGAAGCGTAGTCGCCAATTTGAAATTTGTGCCGTAAAGCACGAGAAAGCTGCCTTCTGATTGGTCATTCCATTGGTCGGTCAAAGTTCGCGCAAGGTCGGTCTGACGTGACCCGGAATGGGATGTCCTCAGATCTTTGTTTAGCGGTAGCGAGAACTAAGATCTGATTTTAATGAGATTGAGAATATAATAACGTATAAGCGAATCTCAGTATACGTGTGCGTAGTTTTAAATGTATACATTTCATACCATATTTGTTAGGTAAAAGCTACTTCTTGATTCCATATCGATAGTCCAATCAGAGAACGTTTCACAAAATCAGCATCCACGACTGGTACACATTCGTATGTAAGTGATTTAACGCTGCCTGTCTTTGTTGACGCGAATATGTCTCTTTAATCTTTTGACACCAGCAACGATTGCCTATGTTTTTGTGTCAGGCATGAAATCGCGAATGTTTTCGTTATCCGATAGAGCAGATCGTCGCCTATGGTAGCCGCCATCTTTGTGAGGCTATATGAGATAAGAACAGCGATCTGATTGGATATTGCGTTTTCATAACAAGGGGCACTGATCTATGCGAGGTGACGCCAGGGTCGAGCCAAGAAAAGTTGCCTTGATGTGGCAAGGGTAGAAACAAGGCTTTGCAATAGCCTCGGGAAGGTGGTCTCAATACTTCACAATTATGACTGGCTGATAAAATCTTCAGTTGATGAGACCTCCCACGTAAGTGTCCTCGGATCTTGAAAGAGGTCTCATGTCCGAGTAAAATATCTTATTTTGGGGAGTGCAACTTGTTGTATTTAATTAATTAACTTTAACAAATTCAAGTTGACAAGTTTATAAGTCGGCGAGTGCAAGAATGTCGCGCGTGTTGACCAATTGTAAACCCGTTGTAAACCAATTTTAACGTTTTCGAACATGAACAAGTTGATGCCAGCCATGTTATACCACCACTGGATCCTGGCTGGACAGATATGGAATAGCTATCAAGTTGCAGTTATTTATTCGGAATCAGATCCAGAAGTATGCGACGTCGCTCATTCCATATCAGCACTTGGATGACGGATGACATACAGATGACATACAGCTGACACACAAACACTCTTTTGAATATTGCCGAGTGTGTCTTTAAAGAACAAACTTATAAAATACTATGCTTGTTTATTAATGTCCTACCTATACATGTACAAAAGTATAATTTATAATGTAAACAACCCCATTCTTCCCGACAGTCAGCACGTGGGTGTATGTTCATACATTATTATGCACTGCCAGTATCGCTAAGATGGATTTGTGAAATGGTGGTTTGGTCCCATTCGCAACTACAGCTTCTTTTCGAGTGCAGCTCGAATGTCACGACGCAAATAGTCATCCAATCAAATTACACGATAATGGGTACAGGAACTCTGTACATGGAAGTAACTATACAACTTGTATTCGTGTACCAACATCTTGTCCAGCTAGAAGGTTATTCTGAGTAAAAGCATTGTTTTAAAATATATCGAGTGTTCGCTCGAAAAAGGCCGCCATTTTAATACAATTTGCCTAACACTCGTTATGAATCATAATTTTTGATTGGTCGTGAGTTTAAGGTCATCAGTCACAGAAGTGTTGAGCTGGGTCGCTGGAGGATGGAGGTCATTACGTCACTTCCGTAATGAAGCTTATGGGTCAAGGGTAAGTATATATGTGTGTGTAATGCTGTTTTAAAGTTGTCCTTTACGTCATATGGTGTATCTGAGCGACAGATCCAAGTCTGTCATCTTTTCTGTGAACACTTGATCAAACCACTCGTTGTCAGCCACTGTAAACCAGTTTTTCCAGTCGCCCACCTCTCCTGAAAATGAGAGTGAGTGAGTAAGTGTGGTTCAACGCCGTTTTCAACAGGTTTTTTTCATATCACGGTATTTCAGCTCGATGTGGGAGAAAAGACTTAAGTGATGCAGGTATTAGAACCCAGGAGCAACTCTGCACACAAGGTTTTGTTTGTTTGTTTGTTTGTTGTTTAACGCCGCAATATTCCACCTATACGACAGTGGTCTGTAAATAATTGGGTATGGGACAGACAATCCAGTGATCGATGTCATGAGCATCGATCCATGCAATTGGGATCGATGACAGGCATCAACCAAGTCAGTCTGACCACCCGATCCCGTTAGTCGCCACGACAAGCATAGTCGCCTTTCACACATGGTGCGGCGCCTTAGAAGAATGGGCCACTGATTGCCCCAAATAGAAAAGAGTGTTCTGGAATACCATATTAAATCGGAAAACGAAGAAAGAGCCACGTGATTACTTATATATTACAAACATCCAACAAATACATATTGAAATATCCCGGTACACAATGATTGGGTAACCCCTATAGGACCTCATTTTTAGAATTGATTTTCACTTTGTGTGAGTTCATTTGAGTAGTCAAACTGTTGAAAACATCGGAGCTCACTGTAATGTAGTTTTATATCACTAATTTATACTTTGAGGATGTACAACACAATTTCATTTAGTACGTGTGACTTCATCTTTTCACTGACAGCCACACAACAACCAACTGAAACGCGAATAGAATAGTTAATCAAAACCCTGTCTGCCGTAAACGGCGACTATGCTTGTCGAAAAAGGCGACCAACGGGATCGGGTGGTCAGACTCGCTGACTTGGTTGATGCATGTCATCGTATCCCAATTGCTTGGATCGATCCTCAAGATGTCAATCACTGGATTGTCTGATTGACTCGATTATTCCCCGGAATAAGCCGGAATATATTGCTGAGTGCGTCGTTAACCAACCAACAAACACAAATATATACAATACAGTAAACTACGGTTATAACGAACTCAAAAGGACTTATAATTTAATAACCGTAGTTCGTTATAAGCATATATACAGCATAACTACAGCAAATTGTCGGGACCAAAAAAGTAAGTTCGTTATATCTTCAGTTCGTTATATCTTCAGTTCGTTATAAGCATGTTCGTTATAACCGTAGTTTACTGTATGTGGAACGAGCTGCAGATCGGCCTCTCGCGGTACCCTGTCCTTCTGGCAACTCTAAAGGATTTCAGCATTACTGAAGAGTGGAACAATTTTCTATTGGCAACCATCCAGACACTTATGAGACGACGGCGCCAGGCTGTGATCACATCACGTGGATCACACACGCTGGGGAGAGTTGGTTTTCCTGGGCAATGAATTTGTTCTCGTGATCTTTTCCTTTCTAAAGTTTTGGTCAGATACTCATTTTGACGGGTGATCTGACTGATTATTGGTCACTTGATGTATTGCACATGATAACGGGCTTTTGTTCTTTAACATGTCTTCACGCAATATTGTCTTTGGCTATTTCAAAAGATTTAAACAATTACCCGTATTACCTTCTGAAGTGGTGATCCTTAGCAAACTTTGAGTACTATATAATGCATACCTTTGCGATACATGACTGGTTGCCCGTCAGAAGTCATGTCATGCTTCCCCTTCCGTTCGCGCATGCGCTTAAAGGAGCACCAGTCGTCTACTTTCCGTAAGAATGCGTCATCGTGGGACAAACCCAGAAATTGAGATATTCTTCGTATCTGGGACAAGGCATCCTAGAAAGAAAAAAAATGTGAGAAGCAGTTTTACTGATGAACTCCATCTTTACAAGCAGTGAGTTTCTATACATTGGCTTAAACACGACTCCGAGGCTTTAGTTGACAATGTAGGGCTTTTCTCGAGCTCAAGGTTTTACATTTTCAACCATAACCGAGGAGGGGGTGTTTTATCCAACTTATGAACTGTCTAAATGCAGGAAATGCCAGAACAAAATTAGAACACTTAAAGATATCAGCAATAGTGCAGCTATATGACGGCGGTCTAGAAATAATCGAGGTGGGATCAGTCAATCCAGTGATTGACATCATGAGCATCGATCTTCGCAATTGGGGTACGATGACATGTATCAACAAAGTCAGCGATCCCTTTTGTCGCCTCTTACGACAAGCTTAGTCGCCTTTTACGGCAAGCATGGGTCGCTGAAGATCTATTCTACCCCGGATCTTCACGGGTCGTAAAACGCAATGAGTGAGTGAGTGAGTAAATGCTTTACGTCACATCGGCAATATTTCAGCCATATCGTGACGAATAAAAGGCAATGAGTATCGTGAACCGGAAGCTAGTCACATCTGCGTATCGTGATCGTGTTATATTCAGACGTGACAAGACACACTGTAAACTCTGCTTACTGTACTCTTGTTTTTATCTGTTCATACTCTATGTCCTGAAATACAAACCACGCCATCGTGTCACCTACTTCCTTCATGTCTTCATACACCACACTGATCGACGGAACATCCGGGTGCCTTGTGAGCCCTTCTTGCCAGCTTCGGACGTAATCAAACCACGATCCATAGTCAACTGTTGACGAATAAAGTAAACTACGTTGATAACGAACACGCTTATAACGAACTGACCGATATAACGAACTTATTTTCAGTCCTGGCCATTTGTTGTATATATGCTATATATATGCTTAAAACGAACTACGGGGCGGTCGGGTAGCCTAGTGGTTAAAGCGTTCGCTCGTCACGCTGAAGACCCGGGTTCGATTCCCGACCTGGGTACAATATGCGAAGCCCATTTCTGGTGTCCCCCGGCGTGATATTGCTGGAATATTGCTAAAAGCGGCGTAAAACCATACCCACTCACTATAACGAACTACAGTCAATACGAACTAAAATTAGTGGTCCCTTGGAGTTCGTCATAACCGTAGTTTACAGTATATCATCATCATCATCATCATGGCATTATTAGTATTATTGTTTCAGTCATCGGCTGATTTCTGAAACAAAGGGGTGATTTTTTCATCAGGAAGTCATGAAGTCCGCAAGTACGAGCGTATATCATCTTCTCGTGGAAAAAGCGTCCACTAGCCTATATCAAAGCATAGTTTCTGCCCTTGCCACTTCAAGCCTACTTTTCGGTGATAAGATATGAGAGGACTATCACACATATCGATAGTCCAATCAGAGACCATTTTACAAATTCAACATCCTGGTTCTGAAAACATGGTCGCTTCTATGATTACAAACATCGCCTGTCGAATGTGCTGGATTGATTCCACAAATTCAGCGAAGACAAATCTTTTCGAAGTGGTTCAAACTTGCACAATTACTTTTATGTATCAGAGTGCAAACTTCATTGCTTTTTAACTCGAACAACTTTACGCTTATCGCATTGACTGAGATGCAGTGCTATTTTCAGACGATCCCCAATGAGCGTTTCATGTTACGTGATACAGTAAACTACGGTTATAACGAGCACGCTTACAACGAACTGACGGATATAACGAACTTACATTTTTGGTCCCGACTATTTGCTGTTGTTATACTGTATATATGCTTATAACGAACTACGGTTATAACGAACTAAAATTAGTAGTCACTTTGAGTTCGTTATAACCGTGCTTTACTGTACTGTGTCGTCTGTATGCCTTTATTTTTGTAAGGGCGACATATGGCAGTAGTAAGTATCTTTACTGTGGTAATCTGTTATTTTGTTAGCCTGTCACGTATGAAATCTCAAATCTTTTCGTTATCCGATCGACCAGGTAGTCTGTAATGGTAGCCATCTTTGAAAAGCCATTCCAAATTAGAACAGCGATCTGATTGGATATCGCGTTTTCATCACAAGGGACACCACTCTTGTTCTACGCGGGGTGGCGCCATGATCGAGTCAAGCCAACTAAGGTTGCAATGGCAATGGCAGAAACTGGGCTTCCATATAGGCTAGTGGATCTTCATCTTCATGTGATGCAAAAGGATATAGTTAGTAGAATATTGTCCGCAAGTTATGCAAGTCTTTGAATGGCATTGAGAACAGATAAACATAAGAGAGATAATGTATGGATGTCAACTTCGTTTTTATGAAGATCACAACGTTTTGGAGTACATGACTAAATACTTACTCCTTCATCGGGCATTGATGCACCTGATGAAGGAGTGAGCATATACTCCGAAACGTTGTGCTCCTCACAATAACGAGAATTTTTTTTTAAAAACCGGTAAATTAATCTAGATATATTCCTACTTCTCCACCACCACCATCATCCGATCCATCATCTTACTTCTCCTCAACACCTCATCCACATCACCATCAACATCCTCATGCTACTTCTTAACCCACTCCATCTCCTCCCCATCATCATCTTCCTATTTCTTCACGACCTCAACATCATCATCATCATCATCATCATCATCACCCTACTTCTCCACCTACTCCATCTCCTCCCCTTCATCATCTTCCTATTTCTTCACCACCACCTCACCATCATCATCATCATCATCATCACCCTACTTCTCCACCCACTCCATCTCCTCCCCATCATCATCTTCCTATTTCTTCTCCACCACCTCAACATCACCACCATCATCAGCATCATCATCATCATCATCATCACCCTACTTCTCCACCTACTCCATCTCCTCCCCATCATCATCTTCCTATTACTCCTCCACCACCTCAGCATCATCATCATCATCATCATCATCACCCTACTTCTCCACCTACTCCATCTCCTCCCCATCATCATCTTCCTATTTCTCCTCCACCACCTCAACATCATCATCATCATCACCCTACTTCTCCAACCACTCCATCTCCTCCCCATCATCATCTTCCTATTACTCCTCCACCACCTCACCATCATCATCATCATCATCATCATCATCACCCTACTTCTCCACCTACTCCATCTCCTCCCCATCATCATCTTCCTATTACTCCTCCACCACCTCACCATCATCATCATCATCATCATCACCCTACTTCTCCACCTACTCCATCTCCTCCCGATCATCATCTTCCTATTACTCCTCCACCACCTCAGCATCATCATCATCATCATCATCACCCTACTTCTCCAACCACTCCATCTCCTCCCCATCATCATCTTCCTATTTCTTCTCCACCACCTCAACATCATCATCATCATCATCATCACCCTACTTCTCCACCTACTCCATCTCCTCCCGATCATCATCTTCCTATTACTCCTCCACCACCTCAGCATCATCATCATCATCATCATCACCCTACTTCTCCAACCACTCCATCTCCTCCCCATCATCATCTTCCTATTTCTTCTCCACCACCTCAACATCATCATCATCATCATCATCATCATCATCACCCTACTTCTCCACCTACTCCATCTCCTCCCGATCATCATCTTCCTATTACTCCTCCACCACCTAAGCATCATCATCATCATCATCATCATCATCATCATCCTACTTCTCCACCCACTCCATCTCCTCCCCATCATCATCTTCCTATTTCTCCTCCACCACCTCAACATCATCACCATCATCATCATCATCACCCTACTTCTCCAACCACTCCATCTCCTCCCCATCGTCATCTTCCTATTTCTTCTCCACCACCTCAACATCATCATCATCATCATCATCACCCTACTTCTCCACCTACTCCATCTCCTCCCGATCACCATCTTCCTATTACTCCTCCACCACCTCAGCATCATCATCATCATCATCATCATCATCCTACTTCTCCACCTACTCCATCTCCTCCCGATCATCATCTTCCTATTTCTCCTCCACCACCTCAACATCATCATCATCATCACCCTACTTCTCCACCTACTCCATCTCCTCCCCATCATCATCTTCCTATTTCTTCTCCACCACCTCACCATCATCATCATCATCATCCTACTTCTCCACCCACTCCATCTCCTCCCCATCATCATCTTCCTATTTCTTCTCCACCACCTCAACATCATCATCATCATCATCATCATCATCATCATCATCATCCTACTTCTCCAACCACTCCATCTCCTCCCCATCATCATCTTCCTATTTCTTCTCCACCACCTCAACCACCTCAACATCATCACCATCATCATCATCATCACCCTACTTCTCCAACCACTCCATCTCCTCCCCATCATCATATTCCTATTTCTTCTCCACCACCTCAACATCATCATCATCATCATCCTACTTCTCCACCCACTCCATCTCCTCCCCATCATCATCTTCCTATTTCTTCTCCACCACCTCAACATCATCATCATCATCATCATCACCCTACTTCTCCACCTACTCCATCTCCTCCCGATCATCATCTTCCTATTACTCCTCCACCACCTCACCATCATCATCATCATCATCATCATCATCCTACTTCTCCACCCACTCCATCTCCTCCCCATCATCATCTTCCTATTTCTCCTCCACCACCTCAACATCATCATCATCATCATCATCATCACCCTACTTCTCCACCTACTCCATCTCCTCCCGATCATCATCTTCCTATTACTCCTCCACCACCTAAGCATCATCATCATCATCATCATCCTACTTCTCCACCCACTCCATCTCCTCCCCATCATCATCTTCCTATTTCTCCTCCACCACCTCAACATCATCATCATCATCATCATCATCACCCTACTTCTCCACCCACTCCATCTCCTCCCCATCATCATCTTCCTATTTTTTCTCCACCACCTCAACATCATCATCATCATCATCATCATCACCCTACTTCTCCACCTACTCCATCTCCTCCCGATCATCATCTTCCTATTTCTCCTCCACCACCTCAACATCATCACCATCATCATCATCATCATCATCACCCTACTTCTCCAACCACTCCATCTCCTCCCCATCATCATCTTCCTATTTCTCCTCCACCACCTCAACATCATCATCATCATCATCATCATCATCATCATCCTACTTCTCCACCTACTCCATCTCCTCCCCATCATCATCTTCCTATTTTTTCTCCACCACCTCACCATCATCATCATCATCATCATCACCCTACTTCTCCACCCACTCCATCTCCTCCCCATCATCATCTTCCTATTACTCCTCCACCACCTCAGCAGCATCATCATCATCATCATCACCCTACTTCTCCACCTACTCCATCTCCTCCCGATCATCATCTTCCTTTTTCTCCTCCACCACCTCAACATCATCATCATCATCACCCTACTTCTCCAACCACTCCATCTCCTCCCCATCATCATCTTCCTATTTCTTCTCCACCACCTCAACATCATCATCATCATCATCATCATCATCATCATCATCCTACTTCTCCACCCACTCCATCTCCTCCCCATCATCATCTTCCTATTTTTTCTCCACCACCTCACCATCATCATCATCATCATCATCACCCTACTTCTCCACCCACTCCATCTCCTCCCCATCATCATCTTCCTATTACTCCTCCACCACCTCAGCAGCATCATCATCATCATCATCACCCTACTTCTCCACCTACTCCATCTCCTCCCCATCATCATCTTCCTATTTCTCCTCCACCACCTCAACATCATCATCATCATCACCCTACTTCTCCAACCACTCCATCTCCTCCCCATCATCATCTTCATATTTCTTCTCCACCACCATCATCATCATCATCATCATCATCACCCTACTTCTCCACCCACTCCATCTCCTCCCCATCATCATCTTCCTATTTTTTCTCCACCACCTCAACATCATCATCATCATCATCATCATCATCACCCTACTTCTCCACCTACTCCATCTCCTCCCGATCATCATCTTCCTATTTCTCCTCCACCACCTCAACATCATCACCATCATCATCATCATCATCATCATCACCCTACTTCTCCAACCACTCCATCTCCTCCCCATCATCATCTTCCTATTTTTTCTCCACCACCTCAACATCATCATCATCATCATCACCCTACTTCTCCACCTACTCCATCTCCTCCCGATCATCATCTTCCTATTTCTCCTCCACCACCTCAACATCATCACCATCATCATCATCATCATCATCACCCTACTTCTCCAACCACTCCATCTCCTCCCCATCATCATCTTCCTATTTCTCCTCCACCACCTCAACATCATCATCATCATCATCATCATCATCATCCTACTTCTCCACCTACTCCATCTCCTCCCCATCATCATCTTCCTATTTTTTCTCCACCACCTCACCATCATCATCATCATCATCATCACCCTACTTCTCCACCCACTCCATCTCCTCCCCATCATCATCTTCCTATTACTCCTCCACCACCTCAGCAGCATCATCATCATCATCATCACCCTACTTCTCCACCTACTCCATCTCCTCCCGATCATCATCTTCCTTTTTCTCCTCCACCACCTCAACATCATCATCATCATCACCCTACTTCTCGAACCACTCCATCTCCTCCCCATCATCATCTTCCTATTTCTTCTCCACCACCTCAACATCATCATCATCATCATCATCATCATCATCATCCTACTTCTCCACCCACTCCATCTCCTCCCCATCATCATCTTCCTATTTTTTCTCCACCACCTCACCATCATCATCATCATCATCATCACCCTACTTCTCCACCCACTCCATCTCCTCCCCATCATCATCTTCCTATTACTCCTCCACCACCTCAGCAGCATCATCATCATCATCATCACCCTACTTCTCCACCTACTCCATCTCCTCCCCATCATCATCTTCCTATTTCTCCTCCACCACCTCAACATCATCATCATCATCACCCTACTTCTCCAACCACTCCATCTCCTCCCCATCATCATCTTCATATTTCTTCTCCACCACCATCATCATCATCATCATCATCATCATCACCCTACTTCTCCACCCACTCCATCTCCTCCCCATCATCATCTTCCTATTTTTTCTCCACCACCTCAACATCATCATCATCATCATCATCATCATCATCACCCTACTTCTCCACCTACTCCATCTCCTCCCGATCATCATCTTCCTATTTCTCCTCCACCACCTCAACATCATCACCATCATCATCATCATCATCATCATCACCCTACTTCTCCAACCACTCCATCTCCTCCCCATCATCATCTTCCTATTTCTCCTCCACCACCTCAACATCATCATCATCATCATCATCATCATCCTACTTCTCCACCCACTCCATCTCCTCCCCATCATCATCTTCCTATTTTTTCTCCACCACCTCAGCAGCATCATCATCATCATCATCACCCTACTTCTCCACCCACTCCATCTCCTCCCCATCATCATCTTCCTATTACTCCTCCACCACCTCAGCAGCATCATCATCATCATCATCACCCTACTTCTCCACCTACTCCATCTCCTCCCGATCATCATCTTCCTATTTCTCCTCCACCACCTCAACATCATCATCATCATCACCCTACTTCTCCAACCACTCCATCTCCTCCCCATCATCATCTTCCTATTTCTCCTCCACCACCTCAACATCATCATCATCATCATCATCATCATCATCATCATCCTACTTCTCCACCCACTCCATCTCCTCCCCATCATCATCTTCCTATTTTTTCTCCACCACCTCACCATCATCATCATCATCATCATCACCCTACTTCTCCACCCACTCCATCTCCTCCCCATCATCATCTTCCTATTACTCCTCCACCACCTCAACATCATCATCATCATCATCATCACCCTACTTCTCCACCTACTCCATCTCCTCCCGATCATCATCTTCCTATTTCTCCTCCACCACCTCAACATCATCATCATCATCACCCTACTTCTCCAACCACTCCATCTCCTCCCCATCATCATCTTCATATTTCTTCTCCACCACCTCACCATCATCATCATCATCATCATCATCACCCTACTTCTCCACCTACTCCATATCCTCCGCATCATCATCTTCCTATTTCTTCTCCACCACCTCAACATCATCATCATCATCATCATCACCCTACTTCTCCACCTACTCCATCTCCTCCCCATCATCATCTTCCTATTTCTTCTCCACCACCTCAACATCATCATCATCATCACCCTACTTCTCCACCTACTCCATCTCCTCCCCATCATCATCTTCCTATTTCTTCTCCACCACCTCAACATCATCATCATCATCATCATCACCCTACTTCTCCACCTACTCCATCTCCTCCCCATCATCATCTTCCTATTTCTTCTCCACCACCTCAACATCATCATCATCATCATCATCACCCTACTTCTCCACCTACTCTATCTCCTCCCCATCATCATCTTCCTATTACTCCTCCACCACCTCAGCATCATCATCATCATCATCATCCTACTTCTCCACCCACTCCATCTCCTCCCCATCATCATCTTCCTATTTCTCCTCCACCACCTCAACATCATCATCATCATCATCATCATCATCATCATCACCCTACTTCTCCAACCACTCCATCTCCTCCCCATCATCATCTTCCTATTACTTCTCCACCACCTCAACATCATCATCATCATCATCATCATCATCATCATCACCCTACTTCTCCACCTACTCCATCTCCTCCCGATCATCATCTTCCTATTTCTCCTCCACCACCTCAACATCATCATCATCATCATCATCATCATCATCATCACCCTACTTCTCCACCTACTCCATCTCCTCCCGATCATCATCTTCCTATTTCTCCTCCACCACCTCAACATCATCATCATCATCACCCTACTTCTCCACCTACTCCATCTCCTCCCGATCATCATCTTCCTATTTCTCCTCCACCACCTCAACATCATCATCATCATCATCATCATCATCATCACCCTACTTCTCCACCCACTCCATCTCCTCCCCATCATCATCTTCCTATTTCTTCTCCACCACCTCAACATCATCATCATCATCATCAACATCATCATCATCATCACCCTACTCCTCCACCCACTCCATCACCTCCCCATCACCATCTTCCTATTTCTTCTCCACCACCTTACCATCATCATCAGCAGCAGCAGCAGCTGAGTGCAGAGTTAAACAACAAACAAACAAACATCATCATCATCCTACTTCTCGTCCACCCAAGCAGAATGTCAAACGGTGGACCTATTAAGGAGAAAGTCTTAAAACATTTCATACCTTTTCCTTCGACCCACAAGGGCAGATAATCCTTGAATATTCCATGATAGTCGTAATACTGCACCAGTTTGCGATGGTGGTTATAAAATGAAACCGCCGCATCTTTAGGGTTACGTAGCAGGTATATTATCTTGGTCTTCTTCTGATGTATCTCTTTGGGTAACGAGTCGAACTGGACGTGAGTGTTTAATATTCTGGGGGACGCCATTTTGGCCAGGTGATCATGTGACTTCATTTCGATCATCAAGTCATCTTTCTCCATCCCTCCAACGTCACATGACCCGCTCAACAGAACACGTGACACCTCAAACAACCAATGGGTGCCTAGAATAGAACCAGGAAACAAATTCAACAAAGTTTTGTCGCTGCGAGAGAGAGAGATAGACTGCTTGTAACAGTACGGACCTGTGCAGAGTTTATAGTGCTAGCCCACTTAAGTGGCACACCCCTCTCAGATACAGTATACTGAGGATTACCACTCCTTGTTTATCCCATTAATGCCGAACGCCAGGCAGGGTTACAACAAGTACCATCTTTTAACGTGTTTTGGTATGACACGGCCGGTAATCGAACCATCGACCTTCCGCTCTCCGGGAAGACACTCTATCCACTACACCACAGAGAAGGTCTTGTTAACATTAAAATTTCAGAAACAAATAGTAAGGACATGAAGCCAAAACATTGAGAATGGGTACATCTGATTATTATTATGATGATTATTATTATTATTGTTTTTATTATTGTTGTTATTATTATTGTAAAAATATAACAATATATATAACACAATTTGAGTTACGAAGTGGAATTTGAATGTCAACCACATTTGCAAGGACTGTCAATTTGCAGCGGCCTAATCCCTTGAATCGTCACTTAATGATGACGTAGATTGCCAACTCGTGATTATAATTCTGGAGCGGGGATTTATTGTTACCTGATTTCGGGTAGCCAGATATAAGAATATCGTCGTCTCTCAACTTGAGATTGGGGACGCCCCTGATGACGTCAGCAGGAAAGGTGGGGAACATGCGCCCGTCCACGTCCAGCAAGGTCAAAGTGCATCCTGCAGCATCCGGGACTTTCTTGACGGACATTGTCAGCGTTCAACGGGACTGCACAGAAAACAGAACACTTCGATCAAAAATAAGTCGTAACTGATGGAGAAATATGAAATGGGCTTCACATATTGAACTCATGTGGAGAGTCGAACCCGGACATTCGGCGTGACGAACGAACGCTTTAACCACCAGACTACCCAACCGTCCCTCATACCTACATAAACACTTAGACTTTATTTAGGCTGTTTACAATTAAACATTTGTTTACTTAATCGTTCATTATCGGTCAGATCGCAACAAAATGTCGATTAATAGTAGCAAGGCGTGACGCTTTTAGTGACGCTTTTGAACATTGTCACTTATCTATTTTTGTTGACACATATACAGCAAACACAGCTATGCAGATTTTATAATCGCTTCATTTGCTTTCTGCTGTTGCAAGGTGAGCACAAATGTGTTCAATGTTGGAAAGAGACGAATTTGAACAAATGATGTTAACGGGTACCTGCCCTTGTCAATTAACGATTTTTGTGCTGCACGTGTGGCCCAGTCGTCTGAGGCGTCCCGATTCGCTGTGCAGAGTTGCGTCTCTTGGGCACGCCAGAAACCTATGATGGTGGGTTCGAATCCCGGTTCGCCCCGATTATTTGTCTAGGTTTATCAGCACCATACTCGTGGGTTTCACTGAAGTGGTAAACGCCTGAGACCTGCATCCCTTGGGGCTTCCCTCCCACATTATACTGTTAAAAGCGGCGTTAAACTCACTGACATCATTTCCCAGCGCCCGCGACTTGATGTCGTCATGTAATGGATAACGTTATTTTTTAGAGGCAAGTGTCTATTGAGAGGTTCCCCATAGATTTAGCTGAGTAGATTAACTCAGTGGCCGAGCGATCGCATGACATCATGAACATCGATCCACGCAATTGGGATCAATGACATGCTTCAACCAAGTCAGCGAGCCTGACCACCCGATCCCGTTAGTCGCCTCTTACGACAAGCATAGTCGCCTTTTAAGGCAAGCATGGGTTGCTGAAGACCTATTCTACCCCGGATCTTCACGGGTCCCCCAATAACTAAACACTACCAAATAATGGATAATAGAAAGATCGTTATCACCAAATCCTGTCTTCATCCAATACAAATATGCCAAGCCTGACTCCACTTAATCAAGCACTAGACTGATGGTACAGTCAGCTTACACTAATGACAACTATCGATTTAACGCCGCGCTCCTATCCGTCATCTCCCAAAAGCCCACTCAACACGCTCAATATAACACTTGACAGGGGCGAACACATTTTTCCTATCATCGTTTTGATTTTCCTTTTGGAGACATCAAGATTGCGTTGAACTCACATCGCAGAACTCCAGCAAGGCCATGGGCTAAAAATAGCTCCACTTTGAAAGTTACAGATTTGATGTCAAACATATGCGCAGCTCGATCTGCATAGTTATCTAATCTGTGTGTTATAACAGTAAATAACACTAGCTGTGTCATCTAACAGTATAACGCATGCAAAGACATGCGAAAGGCAGACACATGAATAATTGCATGAATGTTTTTTTAGCTGGTACAAGCTATATGCTATTGCACACACAAAACTATCGCTGCTCAGACATGTCACGCAGCAAGGTCGCAGCTCTGTACGTTTATCAATGGTACATGTTCACTAAACCGTAAATTGCGTTCACTATCAGTTTGTGAGATCACCGACTGTCATGTCTTACCTGTACAAGTCACCGGCGTGCATGAAGCGAAGTAGTTATGTAGAAGTCACCCAGACGGGATGTTCACTGGTCAATGCATATTTACTGGACACAGTTACGGGTGGGCGAACGGGTCGTTGTTCACGGTCGACTCACCTTCGTTTGCTGAGCAGCTGGGAACTGCGACGGCTTGGCTAATCCACACCTAAGATGAGAGCCTGTGGCGTGCAAGAGTTACTTCCCTTTAGCATAATAATTTATGCTTGACTTTAAGCCCAGTAAAAGCCTACAATGAGGCCCATTTTATATCATTAGAGATTAAATGACGTGTTGTGAAAATTATAATTATTGTGTCGTTATCAGAAGGACCACACCCACTACCCCACCCAGCTCAATCCCATCCCATTAAATATGACCTACCCTTCCACCCCGATGAGAGGACTGGTGTTGAAGGCCTACTAGACATGAGATATGTTGTCACCGTCCATAAACTCGACCGCCTCCGTGGTCCCGTGGTAGAGTGTCCGGAGAGGTCCTGGGTTCGATCCCTGGCCGCGTCATACCAAAAGATGTTAAAACACGGTACTGGTTGTTACCCTGCCTGGTGCTCGACATTATGGGGCTAAACAAGGACTGGTCAGCTCGGAGTCAGTATACTGTGTCTGAGGGGGTTATTCATGTTAAACTGCGGCATGGTATCTCAGTGTGCTAGCACTATAAAATCCGGACTAGTACCAGCGGCCACACCCACATGCACGTTGCTATGTAAGTGCAATAATCTTGGACGCGACGTTAAACCATCCATCAAGTTTTGTACGATGCAAAATCAACTCAGGGAAGGACAAGAAGCGACCTCAGTGTGTGATCATGTTTATTATGGTCCGAGTGTGTTATGGCTAAATGACCGGTAGGATGAGATGGCAATGTGGTTGTTAATCTTCTAGCGCCTCACAGGCAGCTTAGGTTGTATACTCCCTAGGGAGCCGAGAATGTTGGTTGATTGCACACTGATCAAAGAGGGTTTGGGTGACTTGGCACAGTCAGGCTGGTTAGGCTCACCATCAGCTCACGGCCCTTGCCCCCTCTACAGGCAGCCCAGACAGCGAATGGGACTTCTCCCGGGAAGCGCTGCCTGGTCAAACCCACCCAGAACTTTTAGGAGAATGTGAAGACTCCCCAACACTGCAGCCTTCTGCATTACCCAGAGTGTCAGAAGGGCTGTATTCCTGGTAGCAAACCCGGGTACTCTCCCAATGTCAGTCAACAGATTGGGAGGTACCAAACCCAAGGCACCGAGAACAATGGGGAGTCGGACAACTTGGTACTTGGGATGCAAGTGTGACATTTCGAAAGCGAGGTCTGCATATTTGCCATGTTTTTTCCTGAATCTTGTCAATCACATTAGTGTCAAAAGGGGCAGAAAACTCAGTGATATAAATGATTTCATTGGATTTATGAAAAAGGACAAGATAAGGTTTGTTGGCGTGGATAGGTCTGACGCTGTATACGGGCCTATTCCAAAGAATTTTGTATTTATCATTTTCCATGACGCGCTCTACATATTCTGGGTCGTACCATGGATGTGTGTCAAAACCACAAGCATGACGAAGACTTGGAATGCCTTGTTTTCATCATGAGTCCGAGTAGTAGTTACTCATTACTCATTATGGCTACTATTCAGGCTGTGTGTACAGGCAGCATGCTCCGGCGGGCAGTAAGAAAGGGTGAAAGGGTTTTTTTCAATAAAAAGTAATTCATTCGCCACAGAAGGATTAACTGGAAGACACATTCAGTTAACATCAGGCGTAGCCATTCCAAGAGTGACATTTGTATGCATGCGTTCTCGTTTTTAAACGAAATATGAACCTGTTATAACTTGTATTGACACGGGGACAATGTGGACCATCTCGTTCACATGACATTCTCAAAGCACGTTTTGAAATTTCAGAGGTTCAGTGAATATACCACCGAGATTGATGATTTGCATTCGCTGATGAATACGATAGTAAGGGTTAAATTTTGGGTTCTATAGTCATTGTGTCTAGACCTGGATATAAAGGTTTTTGTTTTGATATTTCAAGTATCTTTGTTTAAAAATTGCCGGGCTTCTAATCTTGTGAAATATTGTCTACAGTAACTTCAAAAACAGTTCGGGTAAGGCATAAGATGCATATTTGCAAGGCGGGTCCAGCGGGTCCAGCATTTTTAAAAAGGAGGGTGCAGAATATCATAATCCTCTCTCAGTCGGGGGTGGGTTTAGGGGGTGGATTGTCTACAACATACAAGATTTGAATTTCAAGGGGGGGGGGGGGGGGGGGGGTGATTCTCTATAACATACTACATTTGAATTTCAAGGGGGGCGGGGGGATTTGTTCTAGCCACAGTGATAAATCTGTGGCCAGATTATTTATTATAAAGTACCAGTATATAAAGTATCATTTATACATAACAATGCAATTCAGTGAATTCACCTTGTACTCCCACATGTTAGGATCATCGGTGTAGGACGAGGTTTGACATAGAGCTAGAGCTGGCGTGAGGGTTAGCTTGTGCTAGCAGAGATTGTGAATCGCCATTTAGAGCTGTATTTTACACTCATAGAAATCAGGTCCCGGAGGATGTCTGTAAGAAGATCGTTCAAGGTGATATCATCGACTTGAGTAGGAGCTGTAGCGTGTACATGATATCAAACATTATAGCAGCCTTCTATTGGAGAGGAGAGGTTCCTATAAAGTCATGTAATGTATAACATGGCAGAGAGAATACATCCCTGTCGAACCCCCTCCTGTATAGTGGGAATCAGAATAGTTGGACGCTGTTAACACATTACTCATCATATCTCGGTGTGCGTTACCAACAATATTGCATATAGTGAAGGTCACACAATGAGTTGGTGTAAGGTATCTTGGTATGCGTCAACGTTAAATCTGAGATTAATGTTACACTATCACCGTGGGGGGGGGGGGGGGGGGGGGGGGGGGGGGGGCAGATCTACACTGCGAAGGTAACAATGTAGGCAGACAATAATTGTTATTTAATGCAATGCGTTTCGTGTCTATATAAACCCTAATCACTGTTGTCAATTTCGGGTTTGGATTTTGAGTTTATTCAAACTATGTATTTAGAATATATTATAATAACGCATAAGCGAATCTCAGTATGCGTGTGCGCAGTTTTAAATGTATACATTTCATAATATATTTGTTACTATAGGTAAAAGCTACTTCTTGATTCCAAATTGTAGTTTTTGTAAGAAAATGTCTAGATATATGTGCGGGTATATAGTGTTAGTGTATATATAGTGTAGCATATTTGTTTTCATTTGTCAACATCAAGGACATATCTATACATAACAAATGTATGCGTCTCGTGCCTCTCATATATGAACATTATTGGAAAGCCATTAAAATATCAAGTAAACAACAGAGTCACTCGCTGGTGTGAAATTGAACATCAACCGAATTTTTCAGTCATAGCAAGCTAATTGTGGCCATTACCCTGTCATTACTGTTCAAAATATACGTTTCAGTTCGTTTTTGAGATACAGAAGTCAGACGTGTTGGTCTGAATGGTTATTGTTATTACCCGATGTTTAAATTAACTTTACAATAAAATACCACAACGGGGTATTAATGAAATCATTTGACATTTCATTTGTTGAGTCCAACTACCGCTAATTCTTTGAAATTTGAACTGTCACATAATGTCTGCATATGTGTGGGCAAAACATTAATATGATGCTCAGAACTACATTCATTAGGGCGGATGATCCATTGACCGAACTTAACACATATCCTGTTTCTGTATGAGTGAGGGAAGCATTCAAACCAGCATATGTGATGGTTGTATCTCGAAACCGAACTAAAACGACAAGCTCCACGTGTAGATGATACATTTAATTACGACCTCGCTATTGTGGATAGTTTATAGACCCTGTCGTTTCTGAGCCCCATGACATCTTCACACAAAAGGGAGTACCAACGAAGAAACAGATTTTACGCCGCTTTTAGCAATATTCCAGCAATATCACAGCGGGGGACACCAGAAATGGGCTTCACACATTGTACCTATGTCGGGAATCGAACCCGGGCCTTCGGCGTTACGAACGAACGCTTTAACTACTAGGCTACCCGACCGCCCCTCATCACGTAGATGTTTCTAACAAAATGATAACCTTGATTTAATTATTATTATGTTTCGGTGAAGAATACAGTCAAACCCTGTTGCCTCGAATTCATTTGTACCATATAAACATTGCGGACTGTGGGTTCGACATACCTGGGGATTCGACACATCCGAGTTCGAGACAACGGGGTTCTGTATATGGAAACTTGTCCATCTTAATATTGGATTTATGTCTTTCTTTTCATTATCTATTCAACATTCATGTCTCCATTACATATCGAGTTTTCCTCGTGCTTCTGGACATAAGATTTAAATATTAATTGTGATAGTCATTTGCAGTAACCGATACCTCTTGATGGCATAATAATAGACAGCGAATATACGTATCACTGTCTAGTATTGATATAGATCAGGTATAAACAAAACAGATGATGAAATTAAGTCTGATCATTTAATAGGTAACTCGACAGAACATGTCATCGTAGTGATATTTACGGAATACAAGTACATTTGGCTATCCATAAATGTTGGCATCCACAACCATCAGAATAAGGTCAGAATAACCGCCAGCCTAGGTCCTCCCCAAAGTCTCGGCATTGACAGCTGAATGAGACCGGGTGTGTCGTGGGGACTAGGCCCGGTCCTTTTGATTCAAATAGAACCCTGTTTGTTTCTCTGTAGACTAAACTTTTATTATAATACAGAGAAACATGTCGAAGTTTGACGCTAGACCGAAAATTGGCATCAAAAATGGGTCAAGTCTCTCTTGAAGTCCACTTATGCACGGCCATTTCCAAGATTGCCTTCACGTCCTTTAGCTTTTGGAACATGCTCAGGGTTACCATGGTTACCAAGATTACCTTGCGTATAAACATTTCCCGAATTGACATGATTAGCCGTCCCGCTGAAGAACTGGTCGTTTTTAAAGCTGTCAGGTCCTGCTTGTGGTGCGCCAGGAAATCGAAGACCACCAGTGTGGAAAGCAAGTCCTTGAACGTCCGCTGCAGCATAGGTTTGTCCCGAGTTGCCAAAGACGTCATTGCCTCCGTGACTGCGTTCTGTACCCTGTTTATCTTGGCCAACAGCACCTGTCACACCAAAGTTGTTGTTTTGACCATAAGGTCTGATGTTTTCACCATCAAGGGCTGTATTAGCTCCGAGGTCAATGTTCCTGACACCGAGTCTGTACGTTGAGATCGCCGCGTTGATGTCACCATAACCCTTCAGTCTGCTGTGGACGGGTCTGCTCGCGATGGGGACGCCGACGTGGATGTTGTCAGTGTTGATGACGTGACCAGTCGTCGGTAAAGAAGGGTTGACCGCTCGGTGGAACTCCCGATCACTAGCCCCAAAGGAGTTGAACTCTTTGTCAATGCTAGCGCCAATTCTATTCAAGCCACTGTCTGTTTGAGAATACCCACGTGTGTTGCCTCCGAACGTACTTCCGCCATGGACGTGATCGCCGATGTTGCCATTAACCAAACCACCGTTGCCATGGACACCGTTGTTGCTATGGACGCCATTTACTGGACCATTGTTGCTATGGACACCATTGGTTAAACCACCGTTGCCATGCGAACCATGTATTAAACCATCGTTGCTATTGCCAAAACTGCCATGGCTGCTTCCTCCGTGGTCATAACGGACGGGGCTAAATTTGGTTTGTCTTTGTGCTACGGCGAATCCAATCCCGAAGTTGGCGATTTCAGTAAGTTGTTCCCTGTCTGGGTAGCCATCGTCTAACCGGTCAAAGGTCACGGGCTGGCTGATGAAGTTCCCGTAGCCACCGTTGTTCGCTCTATGCAAGCCAGATGTACTCTTGCCCACATTACTGGCGCCTCCCTTGCCGGAGCTTGGAAGGGTGTTTTGATGGGTGAGTTCTCCTTGATCCCCTCGAGGTCTACCAGTGAGAGCATGTTGTTGTACCCGTTGGTTTGGGGCAACCCCAGCGTTGACTACAACAGCACCGACTACAACAACCAGTACAACAGCGGTGATCTGCAACACAAGACAACTAGGATTATGCCATGGAGTAGAGAGAGAGAGACTATATATAAATGGATCTGCCAAAAAGTATGCTTGCATTTTGAGTGAGTGAAATTGAGTTGTGTTTTGCGAAGATGGGAGCATTTTTGGGGGTGACACTTTCACGTGGGCGACGAGATACGCGGGACTTGGGCGTGTACCACTTTGGTGAAACCACCAGCACAGTTGCTGACACACCGAGGGTCATAGTCGGGGAGAACCTGGGATTCGAACACACGACGAACTCAATATAAATAACTGTGGCAACAGACAGACAGACAGACAGACAGACAGGTTTATTCAGTATTATGGCCATATTGCCTAAAGTACAATTGATACTAACTCATTATATGATGTCACGTGCATATACAGAAATTACATCTTCTTGAATCTGATAGAAATAAATGCTTTATATAAGTAGCCACTGAAAAGATAACATGTTTATTTTGTGAGTTGATAATATTGATCATTAACATTTCAGATTTATTGTCATTATTCAAGAAGGGGAGATATGTATAGATCTTAACTTGGAATACTTGTTACACTTAAATAAGACATGGAATTCATCTTCAATTTCACCTCTGTCACAATTGGTACAAACACTGTTAACAGTATCAATATCTTTCGATTTACGACACATATTTACATTAAAATTATGTAATGAGATTCTAAATTTACAAAACGATCTTATTACTGACTTGTCAGGTAAGACAGATAAATACATTTCCTGTTGAAGATGTGTCTTTAGTTTACTATAATTGCTAAGATAATGCGAAGATGAAACAGTTGCGTTCCAGTTTTGTGCAAATATATCTTTCACTCGCTGCTTAAATATTCCCATAAACATTTAAATGTTTCCAATATCCTGTGCAATCCACACCAAAGAAAAACCACATGTAAATAATAGATTTCGTACTTCAGATACCAAGTAATATTTACCTTTATCATCCAACTGCTTTAACAATTTATAAAATTGAAGAGGATATCTACATTCTTCCATTCTTTGTAACTTTATCCAGTATTTAACTCCTCTTACTTGGCTATGCACAAACATATTGCAGGGTCCAGTTTCAACAAGAATTGCTTTATTTGAGGCATATTTATACAAAAAAACGTTTGAAGTATGAGGTATGTACTTTTTCGATGGCAGCATAATATTTTGTTCCCCATATGTCCGCAACTTAGAACAATGAGTCACTTATCCCCAATTCACGTTAAAAAAATCATCAAAACAAAATATTAAAAAGAAACAACATTTCTAATCTATTTCATATTCACCACGAAACACATTCAATATTCCAATCACATTAACTACAGAATGTTATAATGAAAGTTTCTAACTCACTCAATTGAACATGAAACGAACTTCCGGACAAAAGAAAGTATACATCCATGTTTGATTATGGCTAACTATGAACCAAACAAGAAACTGTTATTCGATGGTGATGTATTTGCTAGGGATAGTATCAGAGCTTTGTTTTGGACCTTAGGTTTTCATTTTCCGGCGACAGTTTTCAACCTAGAAACGTTTGACAAAGTTTGCAAATTTTCAAGTGTATACCTTCTCTTTCCCGGCAGCTTATACACACAAAATATACATACAGATCGACCCGTGAAGATCCGGGGTAGAATATGTCTTCAGCAATCCATGCTTGCCGTAAAAGGCGAATATGCTTGTCGTAAGAGGCGACTAAGTGGATCGGGTGGTCAGGCTCGCTGACTTGGTTGATGCATGTCATTGTATCCAAATAGATTGATGCTCATGATGTCAATCACTGGATTGTCTGACCCAAACTCGATTATTTACAAACCGCGGCGTTTAACAACAACAACAACAACAATACAAATGAAGTGCGTCTAGCCACAAATTGAGATGAAAATAATTTATACAGCAAAGATGAATTATTTTCCAAAAATATGGAATAGGCGTTGCGACATTGGAGTTGGGAGTTGAAATCGACTTACCTTCATCCTGCCGAATGCCTTGCAACAAGTGGCGTCTCTAAGAACCCAGACGCAATTGACAACTGACCCCGAGTGTGACATGTTTATATACACCTGGCTACATTTAAATGATCCCCTGATTTATTCCAAACATGATAGACATTCATTGTTTAACAATAAATGCAAATATTATAGTTCCTAGCTTCATACAATAGCAGGTTTACACAGGCAGTTCAATAAATGTCTGTGTTTATGTTCATTCAGTTGATAATATAGGAAATGGATTTTTATTTGTGCAATAAAACTAAATATCCAATGACGATTGAATATTGAATAGGTCACGTACTAGCTTTACCTCAAAATTCCTATATAGTTTAAGAAGTTGTACATATAATTACGTCTCTGAAATTAAAATATTTTTAAAGATATCATTTGTTAAAAACTGTTTCGCATGCTTGCACTTTTGACTATTTAAGCTTTTTTCCAAAGGTCGAGATCGAGATAATGTCCCTCCCGTTGTTTCATAGATAAGGGCATGCGTCGATGTTGCTGGAGCTGATCATGAGAAGACGGTTAGAATGGATTGCGGTGTTTTTTTTATTATGTATATGTTCTGGGGTCTATAAGAGAGTGGGGCAGTCGTCTAAGGCGCCGCGGTTCGCTGTGCAGAGTTGCGTCCCTTGGACACGCCAGAAACCTATGATCTTTGGTTCGAATCCCGATTCGCCCCGATTATGTTTCTAGGTTTGTCAGCACCATACCCGTGCTCGTGGATTTCGCCGAAGTGGTAAACGTGTTAGACCTGCATCACTTCGGGCTTTCCTCCCACATTAAGCTGACACGCCGTGATATAACTGGAATAAACCCAACTCACTCACTGTAAGAGAGATTACTGGTAAGCATGCTTCTCGGGGTATTTTACAGCCGTCTAGCAGCTGACACTGAAACGGACATTAGGACTCGTTTTGATAAGAGTGAGTGGGTATGTTTTTTCGCCGCTTTTAGCAATATTCCAGCAACATCACGGCGGGGGACACCAGAAATGGGCTTCGCACATTGTACCCATGTCGGGAATCGAACTCGGGTCTTCGGCGTGACGAGCGAACGCTTTAACCACTAGGCTAACCGCGCCCGTCTTGATTAGAAGGTCGATAGACATCTGATAAACAATATACACTAATGATAAGGGGCGGTCGGGTAGCCTAGTGGTTAAAGCGTTGGCACGCCACGCCGAAGACCCGGGTTCGATTCCCGACATGGGTACAATGTGTGAAGCCCATTTCTGGTGTCCCCCGCCGTGATATTGCTGGAATATTGCTAAAAGCGGCGTAAAACCATACTCACTCACTCATGATAAACACTATTGTGTATATGTGACATATATCCCATACAATCACACCGATATTACATACATATATGTTATACAATCACAACTATGGTATAATACTAACATAATATTATATCGTATAAAGTCACACATATTTATAGTATTCTTTCACACACGCATATCGTATACAATTACATATGTTGTATACAACCGTACATGCGTATACAATCACACACGAAGATGTAAAGGCTATAGTCATACATATACATATGTATTGTATATAACCATACACTCACACATGTATCGTATACAATCACACATATAGTGTGTATTATACAACCACACTCATATTGTATACAATCACACATATATCGTATACAATCACACGTATAGTAAAAAAACAATCACATTTATATCGCATACCATCACATATACTGTATACAACCATACATATATCTATGCAATCAAACATACATTGTATAAATCACACGTTTCGTAACCAGTCACACACAGGAGAGCTAGACACGCCATGGACCCTGCCTGACACGGTGACGCTCCCTGTGGGGGGTGGGGTTAATGTGGCACTAACCCACACAGCCTGTTCCTTGTCACGGCCATTGTGAGTTATAGCTGTCATGTGGGATAGTGGTGTACAAAGTTGAAACATCAAATGTTTTGACAGAATTGAACCTGGGTCTTTTCTGAGATTGTAAATTGTCAAGCTAATCCTTTGAGTTTGAGAAGTGTCAATTTTTTTTTTTATAATGTTAATATATATATACAATGAACTACAAATATAAAATTATCCATGGTGTGTTGACAATGACATTACAGTAAACTACGGTTATAACGAACACGCTTATAACGAACTAACGGATATAACGAACTGACTTTTTAGTCCCGACTATATGCTGTAGTTATGCTGTATATATGCTTATAACGAATTACGGTTATAACGAACTAAAATTAGTAGTCCCTTTGAGTTCGTTATAACCGTAGTTTACTGTACATGGATAAGTTCATTACAGTATAGGAATGAAGGTTTTGCTATAGTGTGCACTGAACCATGAACTTAACACTGTTGGCGAAGTGCACTGTAGGCAACAGGAGGAGGTACCCTAGGACTGCATTGAAATCATTTGTTCACATAACTACTGGGCGTGTAGGTATGTCTTTGTTGAAATATCCTGTTTGGGGCATCTGCGACGAATTGAATAGTTGAGGTTAACTTGACATTCAAGCATGCAATATACATCATTATAAAGAGAACATTAGCTGGGTGTGTTTTCGTTTCGTAAATATCATATATTAGGTTTGAAAATGTCATAATACGAGCCTGTGGCTATAGCTACGAAACGGAAACGCACGAGGGTAATATATTTTATCATATCATTTCATTTTTACATACACACTGTATTGTGAACACTGTGACTTTCTGTCACTCGAAGAATATGTTAACATGTGCTTGCATGAGAACGAATACATCGTTTGTCTCGAGCGTGGCACCTGTGAAAACCGACTTAACTTGTCTCTAGGTCAATCAAGGACTCAAACGTGAATACACAATGCCATTTAGTAAGTGGTGAAATGTAACAAATGTTATATTTGGGAAACTCTTTCTTAGTAAAGTACGGATTCTAGACCTTTTTGCGAGTTAAGTCCCATCCGGGATTCGAATCCACACTCAAAGAGTGAGGCACCTAATCGCCAGCACAAAACGTTAGCGATCTAACCCACTCAGCCACCTTTACTAATATATAAGAAAGAGTTAACCCAAATATAACATCTGTTACAGTTGACCACTTTCTAAATGGCATTGTGTATTCATAACTTTCGCTCATGGGAGCCGTGCCAATTTACACTTGTCAGAGGGGTACTCAAAGTACGTTTTCTAGACTACCAGTTGTCGGACTTTCATCTGAGGACGCCTCGGTGGCTGAGTGGGTTAGTTCGCTGGCTTTGGGTCCCGGCGATTAGGTGCCTCGCTCTGGGAGTGTGGGTTCGAATCCCGGATGGGACTCAACCATAAAAAGTACTAGAATCTGTACTTAACTAAGAAAGTGTTATCCCAAATATAACATTTGTGACAAGGACTCAAACATTCGTGTATTAACTTCCAATCACAACAATGTCGCACAATAAACACAACTCTCCTAGTCAAAGGGTTTGATACATAAAATCAAAAGTGGTGATAAAATACAATATTGGCGACTGGGGTCTCTCTCACAGACCCTAGGGGGGCTTGCCCTCATCCGGCCTACACCTTATATCGCCTACACCTCATCTGGCCTTCACTAAATACAAATGGTTACTTCCACACCCCTGTTGTGTAGAATGGTATTGTCTATTAACCCATTAATGACCTGAGTACATGGGCCTGTGAACTAATCCGATGTTTTCATAGTGGTATCTGATACTTGAGTTTGTTTTGACTGTTTATACAGGATTACTGTTATAATCCACTTTTAACAGGTCTACTCATCTTAAAAGTTTTGCAAGTGTGTATACATTACCTTACCTGATATAATCCAATCTGAGCATTCTAACAGGTCTACTCATCTCCAAATTTCTGTAAGTGTATATATATACCTTTGTAAGTACTATTGTTTCTCTTTACTTTGATCAACGAAATAGCTTTCACAATGTTAACAGGATCACCTCATCTCCAATTTAGGAATAGGTATATATGTTAGTTTTTAAGTAGGTGCCTCAGGCTGAAAATGGCACATCTTCAAAGAGCTGAGGTCGTTACTTCACAGAGAGGCGGTCAGCAAGTACTACATGGTGGGTACCGGTACATGTTGAATGTCAAGCGGCAACTTGCTGTTCACTGGAAGTGTATTACCATTGGCTGCAGTGGCAGATGCAGCACCATTGGCGACCACATTACATCAACCAAGCCTCACAGTCATCCACCTACCGAGAATGTAGAACACATCCGCATCATCGCCAGAATTAAGGAGCAAGTGAAGACAGACATCATCCCTGTTCAGCAGATCTACAACGCCGAACTCGACCGAGCTGTCGAAGATGTTGCTGCCACGATGCCGTCCTTTGCCAGTGTCCAGGCTGCTCTCTACCGACACCGCTCCAAGTCCATCCCACCTCTCCCAGAATCCCGAGCCGCTGTCGACCTTCAAGAACCCTGGACCAAGACTGAAGATGGAAGAGACTTCCTGTGCATAGATGATGGTGCTGATGACAGACTGTTAGTGTTTGCGACAACTGAGATGTTGGAGATCTTTAGTGAGCAGGACACTATTTTCATGGATGGGACATTCTTCGTGTGCCCTAGCTTGTGGCTGCAGGTGTACACTATACATTCAATGCCACGTTCCCTCGAGCCCTGTGGAATCAACACGAGAACACCGGTCCACGTTCCAACAACCATCTTGAAGGTTTCCACAACGGCCTGAAGAAGAGAATGCCGAGAGCCCATCCCAACATCTTCAAGTTTGTCAAAGAACTCAAGAAGATCGAGACAGCAGTTAGACGGTCAAGAAGGCAGATTGGACTGGGTTGTGCCATGAGATCTCGTGCTCGTGTTGACAGAGACCAAGATGCAAGGATCGAGAGACTGAAGCAGCAGCTTGCTACTGGCAGAAGATCAGTGATCCAGTTTCGGGATGCAGTTGGACATTTCATCAAATTACAGTAATTTTGCTAGTAATGATGTAGTGCTAATGTTATAAAACACGAAGATGATGGATATAAATGTACAGTGCTATGATAATACATGTGTATTTATGATATTTGATGTTGTGAAAACATTTGAGTAGTGAAGATGATCTCATATACAAAATGAAATTACAGTATCAAAAGTCATTCACATTCTTTGTTATCTTGTTGGAAGAGCTCATTTTACTTAAGGGATAAGGGTACAAGTGTGATGTGCACTCATCCATAAATTTGTTTTGATAGTAGTGTAGGCGATATGAGGTGTAGGCCAGATGAGGACAGGCCCCTAGAGGATATAATTAATTCAACAGTCACCCCCATTCCTTTAACACTTCTTTCTAGGGTCAAGAAGCTTGCTCAGCGTGAAGGCTTCCCTCACAGAATGGTGCTTGTCAAACCTGACGCACATAACATTATTTTGGGGCTTCATGTATATTGAGCATGGATTAGTCTGATGGCACAACCCTGGACAGGGAAGAGGGGTCCTCCCATTAGTCAGACACCCAGTTGTCAGACAGTGGAACATTTTTTAACTGCCAAACACCCCTTTACTCATAATGATATGGCCCAGATACTGGCAATCTCGTTGAAGTTTTAAACGGCTTGGTTATACTGTAAATATGGTTGTTTTCACTGAAGTCTGTGAGATAGTGCTTACTGCTTTTTTTACAAGTTAGTTTACAAGGCTTCGTTAACATGACCAGTTTGTATTCGCAAGTGAGTTGGCCAATAAAAAGTAAACTTTATCACTTTGAAGCGTATACATGTACTTGTATCATTATTTACTTCTGGCGAAGTTTGAGATCGCCCCCGTAGTGACAGCTCTTAACAGGCTTCAGCGGAAACACTGCGCTTAATACACATAAGAGCGCGTTCTATAACACTGCAAGGAGCGAAGGAACAATGTCGGATTGGTACAGGCAGAACGAGAATGTAGACACTGTTGTTTATTTGTGGTGGTAAGTTGGATTTGGCGTCTATCAGTTATTTATCTGATCCTTTTTGAAGGCAAATATACTTTATGTAATTGCCAAATGAATATACGTGATGACAGTTAAAGTATTTCCTCCGAATCCCGCACACGTCGACACGGCACACTGCACGAAATGAACTATTTCACGTTGTGAGGCGTGTCCTGTGAAATCTAGGTTACACTGTTGTGATTCCAAGTGGCAAGTATCAGTCAGTTTTAAACTGCCCTAAACATACATACACATCAAACTGTGATCACCAAAGCATGGTACTGACGCAGGCATTCAGCCGAGACGTTACGCATTCAAATACTCTTGTCAGTGTATAATTTGATACAATAAAGTGCAAATGTTTGGGATGAAAAATCAATGATGACATACAGTTGCATATGTGTCGACGTGGTAGCATTGAAAACTGAACAGACACACGAAATTGCCAAATTCTAAATATAACTGCCTTGGAGATGTCGCAGCGCTCACTTCTTTTGATGCCCACATATATATATGTCTGAATGCTGTACGGAAAGCAGTCCATGAACAAAGTTGGTTAGTTGTTTAACGCCGCACTCAGCAATATTCCAGCTATATGACGGCGGTCTTTAAAATATTCGAGTCTGGACCAGACAATCCAGTGATTGACATCATGAGCATCGATCCACGTAATTGGGATCGATGACATGTATCAATCAAGTCAGCGAGCCTGACCACCCGATCCCATTAGTCGCCGAATTATGCCCAGCCCCTGCCTAGTACAATGTGTTATCCCTGACGTCTACAGATGACCCTCTAGATCCTTTGTTCATGGATCCCGTGAAGATTCCGGGTTAGAATAGGTCTTCAGCAACCCATACTTTCCGTAGGCGACTAACAGGATCAGGTGGTCAGGCTCACTGACTTGGTTGATACATGTCATTGATCCCAATTGCGTAGATCGATGCTCATGATGTCAATCACTGGATTATCTGGTCAAGACACGATTGTTTTACAGACCGCTGTCATATAGCTGGAATATTGCTGAATGCGGCGTTAAACAACAAACAAACAAACAAACACTCACAATGAAGAAACCTTGTCATCATCTCTTCCAGACAATCAGGTACCAGTCCTCAAGGACACCATGAACATGTTGCTTGTAAGCAATGCCATAGAGTTTCCGATGACACCAGGGTGGATGACATCTGAGTTCTATTCTCCACTTTTCCCATCTTCCCGAGGCAAGGGAGTTAACTGTCAATGAAAGTCCAATTTCCACCCTTGCAGAACTGGGCTGGTATTATGGAGTTATATTTTGGCTGAACTAACAAGTCTATGCATATTCCAATCAAAATCACGTAACGAAATCGACATCCAGTTCGTAAACTGCCGTGCAGGTTTCGTTGATTGCAGGATTTGCAAAGCATGTGTGCAACCAACTTGGCATCAACAGATATTTTCCAAATCTTTTCATGTTTTCAATCAAGTTGCTCACATGATTTGATGCACTTCCCGAAGTAAGAATATTTTCTTGATTTCCACAATTTGTTTAAAGCAAATGCAAGTGATATGAGAGTTGGAATCTGATTGGTCAATAAGCGGGACATAGAAGGGACATAATTTTTAATAACCACTGTTAACACAGTTAACCACCTTTCCTCGGGAAGATGCAATTTTCCTGGTTCCAAAGAAAGACAGACGACTTCATTATAGTCTAGATCTACCAGACACTTATTTACAAGTCCCTCTGGTTCGTGTTCCTAGGCCAACACTACTCATAACAAGTTTTCAGACTGGGAATTTCTTCGGCCCCGTGGCTATTTACTTGCCTCACAAAACCCATCGTCCAATTCCTACACAATCGAGGCTTCGCCTTCGAATGTGTATAGATGACTGCATTCAAGCCAACAAGGATTCTAACACTCTTCTCTGACACACCTCTGTTTCATCAACACCAAAAATTTCGAAATGATTCCAACACAGCGTCTTCAGTTTATTGGAGCCCTCTTCGATACATGCCTGTGCAAGATATTAGTATCCCAGGATCATTAGGAGAAAACTCAATGCCTCGTTCCATTGACACTCAAACAGTCACTTTCCTTGCACTGTCCTGACCAAAAAAACATCTCCCATGGAATGGCGACTTCATCCACAGATATTCCAGTGCATTTGCTAGTTATTTCGTCGCCTCGACGTCAACCTCTTCGCAACATGCTTCAACACTCAGCTATCCTGGTTCGTATGTCCCATCCCGGATCCTCTTGCTAGGGACCACGATGCATTAGCAATCTCATGGGAGGGATTACATGCTTATGCCTTTCCCCCTCGGGTTCTACAGAAGATAACATCAACCATTCACCTCACACTGCTTTTGGTCACGCCCTACTGGCCAACACAAAGTTAACAAGTTCACAAAGCTCATCCAACTCACAGACAGAAGATTTTACCATCTACCTCTGTGGGTCGATCTTCAACCTTACTCTCAGTTGGTCCATCTATCGTCAGGAACCCTCAGTCTCTGCTTCTGGCGCTATTACAGAAGTCACTTGTAGCCAAGGGTTACTCTACATGAGTGGCCAAGACCATCGCTGAGGCTCACAAATCCTCAACAAAAGCACTTTACGACCATATATGGAAGGCATTTGAGGCTTACTGTCATACGCATGACATCTTCACTCTGCCACGGCCTCTCCACAACAAATTGCTGAATAGCTTTACCGTCTCCGATCGTCTCGTAAGCTTAAGGGTTCCAACCTTGCTACATACCTGGCCGCGATCAATTCCGTCGTTGCAGCTACAATGGGCGCAAAGATCTCTAAAGTTGCAGAACTGCAATCTTTGATTAGTTCTTACAAGTTGGTGGAACAGTCATCACAGTACCATAGGGGGGGTCTATGATGGGATTTCATCACTGATTGGTTATTTACCATTCCACCTTTGACGTCCATTTTAAACCCTGACGATCGCGAAGACGTATGTTTGTGTCCGGTACATGCGCTAGCGGCAAAACATCTTGAACAATTACAGAAGAGACTAATTCATCCCATTTTCCACGACAGCTGCTACGGACATTTCTCGTACTACAATCTCATTGTGGATAGGCTCGATCATTCTTTGAGCCTACACTTTCACTGGCCTACTTGCTCCTGTTGCATCCAACTCTCACGAGACCCGTGCTGTCGCCTCCACTATGGCTCTTCACAGTAATTGCTCCTTGACTGCAATTATGGAAGGATGCTTCTGGAAATCAGATACGGTCTTCCAGTCCCATTACCTCTGAGACATCTCTTTGACGGACGTCCAAGGTCTTCATTAGTTCGGATCCTTGGTTCTCGCAGAAGACTTCAAAACACATCAACGCAGATAGAGCAGGACGTATAACCAGTTCCCATTGTATTTCATCTGCCTCTACATATTATAAACCTTGTCATGATTGTTTGTGTTTATTGTACTCATTCAGGCTTCCCAGACTGAGTATCCATTTGGAGGATATAATCACTTGTCTGTAGAGACTATGGTCCTCAGCTACAGTGTCGCCATCGGCCCGATCCCTAATTCTACGCACCTCCACCTTGGGTATGTGCGCTGGGTAGCAGATGGATGATCCTCTTGTGGATGTTGTTGGTGGTCATTCCCTCTTCCCATTAATTCAGTCACCGACAAGTGTAATTGAGGGTTCGTCGAAGCGTTAAAAGATGCTAAGCGGGCCGATCCTTTACATGCTTAAGGAGATAGTTATACCTTCGTCTTGTAGATTTGAATATAAGTTGTACTCGTTTGGCTTGGACCTACTATTACTCTCATTTACGTCAAGCTACACATATTGTACCGGACTTTATGTTCACATATCAGGATCATAACACTCCGAGAGTGTTTTTTGTTCTGTCTACTAGTTTTGTCTTATGATACATAACTTTGTTACTATATTATGTATTTTACCATTGCTAAGCTCCAGCTTCCTCATAAATATCCTACGGTTGTTGTCTTAATAGACTAGGGAGTTGTGCCCCATCATCCAAACGTGGGATAAATCCATAGTGTGAGATAGGACAAGTTTTAAAATTTGGAAATTTTACAGTAAATTGTATATTTATATACTTATCCTATCTCACACGTTCTATTCACACCCGTCCATCCCCACATCACAATTCCTTAGTCTATACTCTTGAAAGAGAATGAGTTGGTTGGGATAAGCATGTGATCCATGCATGGCCCAGATCTGGGAGGTGACCTTTGTGATGTGAGGTACATATGGATAAATTAACTTTAGAAGCTGAAAACCTTTATTTCAGACTTGTTTCAACTCAGGATCAAAAGAAGAATGAGAAAAAAACATTCCCAATCAGACATTTTGTACCTATCTCTTGAGACCTACATATGGGTACCCGTTTGGGGTCGGGTAATAGGAATGTGGGTACCTGGGTAGGGTTGGGTAATAGGGGGGTGGGTACCCGGGTAGTAAATTTGGACTCGTCCCAGCCCTTGATGATAAGTTTTGGCTGACTTGTTGTTCGTGGGTCTGTACTATGTTGGAGGGAGTCATTGGGAGTCCATGTCCATGACATTAGTGATCGGAATCAGTTTGAGGTGTTCATTGCATGTGTCCAGGGTTTTTTCATCAGGGATGACATATACCAGAAGATTTGACTTACATTGTTAAACTTTCAGTAGTAGTAGTTTCTTCTCATTTGCAGCCCAGACTCAACTCCAAACTCAAAGTTTATATCTACAAACACTTGATAGCATCATCTTCCCGAGGCACGGGCGTTAACTGACCATAAAAGTCCGGTTTCAACCTTTGCCGAACTAGGCTCGAATTTCCAGGCTAGATCGTAGCGCCACCAGTGGCTATTACGAGTTGTGTCCCTCCTATTGACCAGTCAGATTCTACCTCTCATATGACTTGCATTTGCTTCAAACAAAATGGCAGCCCCCAGTCAAGATGATCTGATCGATAATCAAATCTATGTTGTAATAAAACGGGTCTTACCTCGCAAAGTGCATCAAATCACCTGAGCACCTTCTTAATAAACATGAAAAGATTTGCAAAACATCTCTCGACACCTAACTGGCAGTAAACATGCTTTGCAAACCCTGCAGTCAACTGAAATCTTCACATTGAAATCCATGTCGTTTGTGTACCGGATGTCTAGTTTGTCACACGATTTTGATTGGGCTATGCATACACATTAGTTTAACAATGTGGAATACTTAATGAGAGTGAACAGTGAAGATCCAGGGTAGAATAGGTCTTCAGCAACCCATGCTCGACGTAAAAGGCAACTATGCTTGTCGTAAGAGGCAACTTACGGGATCGAGTGGTCAGGCTCGCTGACTTGGTTGATGTATGACCCAATTGTGTAGATCGACGCTCATGATGTCAATCACTGGATTGTTTGGTCCAGACTTGATTATTTACAGACCGCCGTCATATAGCTGGAATATTGCTGAGTGCGCAATAAACAACAAACAAACAAACATAATGAGAGTGAGTTGCCTCTCTTGAGTGAGACAGTGTGCAATTTATCACAAGAAATTCATACTTAAAGATTGTTCCACGACCAAATAAGTGGTCATCAGTTTAATCAATTATACTGTTACACTTGCCAATTACTAAATGTTTTCATTTGGTTCTTTCGCATGTTTAGTGTTCTCAATTTTCACTGAAATAAAACGATGTGATTTGTTGTGTACTATTACATTAGAGTGACTCCACTTCGTATCCCGTACAGTGATTTCAAACCTACCATCAAATCTTATACTCAGGATCTTATGCAAAAGAGGTGGGACACCCAAGTAGGAAGCAATAAACTCCACGAATTGAAACCAACAATCGGTCATACCTACTTGGGTTGTCAGTCAAGACATGACGAGGTCGTTTTACGACGGTGTCGTATTGGCCACAGTCGGTTTACACACGAATATCTGCTTAAGACAGATGAGGACGAACCTCCTAAGTGTATCCCTTGTGATGAAAGGTTCACCGTTAAGCATATATTGCTTGACTGTGTGGACTTTGCAATCGCAAGGGATTCACATTATCAAAGTGTAAATCTAAAAGATCTCTTTTCCCGTATCAGCGGGCATCTCATCATAAATTACTTGAAAGAAATTGGTCTGTATAATAAATTTTAAATATGTATGTGAATAATTAAATGCTTGTTTTTAAATTTGGTGTGATGCTATTAGCAACTGACATTATTAAAGGCTCTGTCCAGGAGGTTAACGTAGCGTAAAAATATTGTCCCCCTGTGTGACACGTAATCCTATAGTAATTGATGTAACTATCATCAACCAGTGTTTTAAGCCAACTCATTGATGAGTATTTTTTAATATTGGCTAGTATTGTGCACAACCACCAGTGGCTAAAGTGATGACGTAAATCCTGCTAGGGTATCATGCAGGAAGCAGAAGTACTGAAAGTCCCCATGATCCCCAGCGAGGTGGCCTAGCTTTGGTTACTGGTGGCCTATAGCCTGTTTTTTAAACTGTATTAATGATATTGTAATGCTCATATGTTTCATCAATTGTTTTTAAATATAGTATGCTCCAATATGTTTGATAAAGTGTTTTTAAATATGTCATTGCATAAATGACTTAATTGTATATATATTAGCTTGGTCTCGTCGCTATATGGCTGAAATAATGCCGATGCGACGTTAAATTTTAACTCACTCACTCACTCACCGAATATGGTTTTACGCCGCTTTTAGCAATATTCCAGCAATATCACGGCGGGGGACACCAGAAATGGGCTTAACACATTGTACCCATGTCGGGAATCGAACCAGGGTCTTAGGCGTGACGAGCGAACGCTTTAACCACCAGGCTACCCGACCGCCCCTATTACATTAGATATCGGGCTTGTGATAGCCTTCTACCTATGTAATTTACTCTGACCACACTTTGGTCCTGGGGGTGATGTAGCTCACTCATATCAGTTAGATTTGTAGTTGAATTTCATGTATTAAAGAATATGTATTTCACATAATAGGTCCTCATTTATATTCTGGTTGATATATTCACAATAACACAACACACAACTAGATGATGTATTGAAGCGCACAGTAGTATCCCATTTTGAATCTGAACTTTGAATAGTCCAAATCCAAGAGTAGAGAGAACTTCTCAGGTCAGTGGGGAGACTCGAACTGACGCTCCACTCTGTGACAACAAACAAAATACTATCATCTTATTCTTTGTTCTCTTTGTCATCTTTGTCTTTCTGTTTTTACTTAAAAGAATCTTTTCTCTTTGTCTCTTACCAATAACTTATTTGCAATTTCTCAATTCATGGTTGAGATTCAAACCATGCTTTTCCTGACAAACACACTCCCACTCACACTGTCCACTCCCATCTGGACAATCTTGCATACAAAGTGTATCAGGAGAACTCTAGACTTTTCGGCACCAGGAATACATTGATAAGTGTCATTAGTTGGCTACCAATTAATGGCAGACCATTCCCTCTCTACCCCCTGGTGATAATTTGCAATTACCGTATTCGACGTAATAAGCGCCCAGGGCGCTCTCAAAATTAGAAATGGGGGCTTTTATTAGAATATTATTTTGGTGAAAAAAACAGTTGAAAGATGAATTTTGTGGTTTATGCTGACAGCCTGAAATGTTTATGTACCCATAATTAAGGGTGCATATAACACACGAGTGTGTATTATACGCGAATAAATAAGTCTTGTGTACATTGATCAATCGGAATGGGTGCTATTTGGGATTGTTCGCCAGCCAATATATCAGCAAATATCGCCGTGGGCGCTTATTAGAGCGGGGCGCTTATTACGTCGAATACGGTACTTGAGTATTTTCACTTAACCCATAACAGATTGGAAAAGAATTATTCATGAGCCTTACTCAGGTCCTTGCTTCACCAGTCTACTGTTATCCTTTGTTATACACTTCCAATAACAAACTGGGGCACGGGTGGCCCAGTCGTCTAAGGTGCCACGATTCGCTCTGCAGAGTTGCGTCCCTTGGGCACGCCAGAAACCTATGATTGTGGGTTCGAATCCTGGTTCGCCCCAATTATGTTTCTAGGTTTGTCAGCACCATACCCGTGCTCGTGGGTTTCACCGAAGTTGTAAACGTCTGAGACCTGCATCTCTTCGGGCTTTCCTCCCACATTAAGCTAACACGCCGTGATATAACTGGAATTCTGTGAAAAGCGGCGTTAAACCCAACTCACTCACTCACTCAAATAACAAACTCCTAACTGAAATTCTGAGTTACAGAATTTCATATAATGTTTGTATGCCAAATGTATATGTAAAAATACCCTTGTTATTGTACTCTTTTGTACCATTGTGTTGTTGTTTTTTTCAGATGTGAACGCAGCCTTCCTTTAAAATGTCGGCCAAATCCAGACGTAAGGTGATTTCCTGTGAAGCCCTCCAGTATGAGTGTGGCATCTGTCTCCGGGAGTTCAGTACCTCCTGGTGTTTGCAGCTGCATATCAGGACTCACTCAGAACAAAAGTCCTTCGACTGTCACGAATGTGGAATGACTTATCCAGACTTCTCTGCTTTGTGTGAGCACCTGAAGGTGCACATCTTTGGGGCAGATCCTGTGGAACAGGATGCAGATTCTCCGAGCATCAGTTGTCATCAAGACCCTGTGTCTCTGACTGATGGGAACCAGGTGAGTCATGGCTTCAAGCCTCAACTAACTTGTGCGACCTGTGAGAAGAGGTTTGGTTCCTTCAAAGCCCTGAAACTCCATTCAAGAATCCACAAAACAAAGAAGCCAGTTCAGACACAAGAACCCTGGAATCTGTCCACAGGTGAAACATCCAGGACCTTTGGATCTGAAGGTAACCAAGAAGATAATAAGAAAGAAGGGACACAGAATGTGAAGAGCAAGAGAGGCAGGAAAAGGAGAAATGGGAACTTGGAACTAACAGGCTATTTCTTGAAAATTGGCAAGAAGTATAGATGTGAGGTCTGTGCTAAAAAGCTAAGTTCCAGATCCTTCATGGAGAAACACATATTGAAGCATCAGAGAGATCAGTTTCACTGTAGTCATTGTGATAAGTTTTTCACAACTTACACCGACTTGAAGGATCATGAAAAGCTACATGAGACAGCTGGGGAACCTACTATACCTCACAAGATTGTTGTTGATGACCATGTGAAGGCTGCAGAGCTTGTGGTGGCAGATTTAAAGGGATTTTCATGCATAGTGTGTAAGAAAACATTTGATAGCAAACAGAAAGCACATGTTCACATACTTTGTCACAAGAATAGAAAAGGGAGACGTAAACTGAACAGGTCGAAGCCAGGTTCACAGAGCTCAATCTCTAGTGATGCTTCACTGAACAGGCAAGATGTGTCTGACATGGAAGTGAAGGCTGGAGTCAGTGCTGGTCCTTCACACATGACTGCTGGTTCTGCAGATACAACACAGTCACTTTGTTGTGAAGAATGTAAGGAAGAGTTCAGTACACAAGATGAGTTGGTACATCACCAAAACCTTCACATTCGAGATCACACCATGGCACTGATGAGAATCCTGAAGCCAGGTACGAACCTAGATGTGTCAATTGTTGAGACACAAACACTTGTTGATGCTGTGCATTCAGTTACAGATGTGTTGACAGCCACCAACAAGGAGGCCCTGTTCAGGAACACTTCAAGACAGGAACTGGCATCATCTGGTGCGGCCCCCAGCAAGGAGGCTCTGTTCAGGAACACTTCAAGACAGGAGCTGGCATCATCTGGTGTGGCCATCAACAAGGAGGCTCTGTTTGGAAACACTTCAAGACAGGAGCTGATATCATCTGGTGCGGCCACCAACAAGGAGGCCCTGTTCAGGAACACATCAAGACAGGGCCTGGCGTCATCTGGTGTGGCCACCAACAAGGAGGCTCTGTTCAGGAACACTTCAAGACAGGGGCTGGCATCATCTGGTGTGGCCATCAACAAGGAGGCTCTGTTCGGAAACACTTCAAGACAGGAACTGGCATCATCTGGTGCGACCCCCAGCAAGGAGGCTCTGTTCAGGAACACTTCAAGACAGGAGCTGGCATCATCTGGTGCGGCCATCAACAAGGAGGCTCTGTTTGGAAACACTTCAAGACAGAAGCTGATATCATCTGGTGCGGCCACCAACAAGGAGGCCCTGTTCAGTAACACATCAAGACAGGGCCTGGCGTCATCTGGTGTGGCCACCAACAAGGAGGCTCTGTTCAGGAACACTTCAAGACAGAAGCTGGCGTCATCTGGTGTTCATCATCCAGAGAGCAGTCCACCAGATGTAGCAGCTTTGGAGTCAAGCTCCCAAAGAAACCTACTCAAGGCCTTCCCCAATGTTCAGTGCAATGTGAAAGTTGTTCTGAAACGTCTCGAAGATGAAAACTTACTTTGTCAGAATGGAGTAGATACAGTCTTTAGGCATTCAGAGGACCATAGCAATGAAAGGGATGATCATACGCAGCAGAGAAAATCGGGTGAAGTAACAGAAACAGAGACACTTTATGGAACAGGGGAATGTCATCAGACGAAGGGAACACTGTCAGACAATAGCAAAGCATTGCAGGAAGGTGGAGATTTCAGTGGGGACAATGGGGAATATGATGATACTTTTCATTATGAAGATGACATTAAACATGCTGAAAATGATCATTATTCAGTCTCAGCTACAGATTCCAGTGATTTGATGTCAAGTGAACATGCCCAAGATGTGTCCACAGCTAAGGATGACAGTGACATGATGTCAGCTGAAAATGTCCATGACTCTGCGTCGACAAAAGAATTGGTGTCTCCTGAAGCACATTCCAATGGTAATACAGCAAAATTAAGTAGTCTTGCAAAATCTATCCTTAAAAATGTAGCTGAAAAAGGAGACAAGTTTTCATGCAAAATTTGTGAAGTGGAATTTAGTGAACTACAGAAAGCCAAGAATCATGTCCGAATTCATGTTGCTAAGAAACGGTTTGAATGCAAATTCTGCCCAGCTAAGTTTGTGTATGCATCAAAGCTTCTATCCCATCAAGCTACACACGCACCTGAAAACCTGTCTCCTAAGAAGAAGACGAGAGTGACGACTAGGTGTCATTATGAGAATGTAGGGAAAGAATTCATCTGCAACATCTGTGATAAGCCATTCAAGACCAAGCATAAGGTACAGTGTCATGTCCGCTATCATCTACTGGAAGACACTTATCAGTGCAGGTTTTGTCAAAGATGCTTCCGAAAAAAGTATTCTTTGCATAATCATGAAAAGACTCATTCTGATGCTTCTGGAGAAGGTTCTAAGACTACTTTCAAGGATGATGGAAAGACTGAAGATGAAGAGACAGAGAAGGTGACACTCAAGTTCAAAAGAGGAAAGTACAAAGAGTTCACAGAGGCTGTCAATGATGTTCTTAAGTGTAAACTTTGTGAAAGTACTTTTAGGAATAACAAGCAAATAATTGACCATTTCAGAAGCCATTTTGCTGAGAGAAAATTCTGGTGTACAATTTGCTCTGCAGCTTTCAAGAGAAATAGTCATTTAGAGGTTCACATGAAAGCTCATGATAGGGGTAACGTGAAGGGGCAAAAAATAAGTATGTCTGAAGGTGTCCAAGGAGCCATGAATGTAGAGAAGAAAAGTAATGTGAAAATGATTAAGGAAAATAACAGTAAAGATGGAGCAAATGTTGTTGATTTATCTGCTGACACTTCAATAGCTACAGACAGTATCAAAGATCGGGGAGGAGAGGCCGGTGGCTGTGTGCAGCCAGAGTTGCCTTCAGGGGATACATGTCTGCTTGAGTCTGTTACCATTCCTGTACAAACAAACCATGAACAAATGAGTGTTGCAACATTGTCACAGGAAGATCGGATTCGTAATGATGTAATAGGTGAGAAGTCATCAACTACTGAAGCCTTGACTAACTCTAGCTTAAATCAACATCCCATTTCTACAGCTGCAGAAATGGTCAAACATCATCCACTGACTGATCCTGATGGTGCAGCATTCACTTGCAGATCATCTGGTGAAGAAGGGCACTTGCTGGTAGGACATGCCAAGACCACTGTAACTTCTGCTGAAGGGACAAATGATAAGGAACCTTTGTCCAATACTAAACGAGAAATACGTGATCACAGTTCTGCAATGACTGTTGATTTAAGTGATGAAGAAGATGGTGCTGGGGAACAGAAAGACACAACATGTGCAGCTCCAGCAGCAGTTGCTGCTTGTGCTAAAGATTGTGCAGAAACACAGACGAAAGCCAAAACAGAGCCAAGTGCAGACTTCATTACTGTACATGGGCTACGTGGATCTAAAAACGCAAATGAAATCGGGGATGACAAGATGTTGATGGCTGCTTCCGATGAGGATGGTGGTGGTTTGGTTGATGATGTGAGTGATGATAATGATCTTGACAGTGACTTTAAGTATGAGCCTGATATGGACTATGATTCTGACATATCCAATGAAGATTTAAGCTCTGCTCGAAATAGAAGACCCCCAATTAAGTACCTTTATGATGCATCAGCTTCTTGTACAGATGGCTGCAGTGCTGGTGAAGGGGAAACAAAGGATGCAAACATCAATAAATCTTCCGGATCAGAGAATGATGATGGTCCATCGAGGAACAAACATGATGTACAAATTACGTTTTGCAATCCAAAGAAGAAAACGTCCAAATCTACAAATAAACCATCACGGAAAGGTATAACTGTTGCATCAGGTTCCAAAGGACAAGGGAGACAAGTAATAACACAAATGAACACAGGAGAAAAGGTGACCCAACATGTAGGTCAGTTAGAAAAGCTAGAGATGGAAACTATCTCATCTCAAGGTCAGGATGTAGGAGGGCTTCATCATGAGGATGAAGCTCAAGATTGTCCAGTGGGACTAAACACAACTGATACTGAAGAGGAATGTGCATTGATGGATACCACATCTTCTGACTGTCAGTATTCTCCACAGAAGCATCAGACTGAGTATACAATTGAGGCCGGGGGATCCTTCCGATGTGTCTTCTGTGATAAAGTCTTTAAATCCCTGCTCAACATTCGGAGCCACCTCAGTATTGAACATGATCTCTTCCGGTGCAAGGTTTGCATTGCCACCTTCCAAACTCATCAGGAACTCAAAAAACACAATGAGGAAAACAAACACTTACAATTCAGAGTCCTCAGCAACAGAAACATTTCAACTAAAATTGAAATAGTTGGGGAGATGTTTAAATGTAATCTTTGTAACAAAATGTTTTCAGATAAGGGAAAGTGTGCACTTCACGTTAGACATCATCTGACTGCATTCAAATACATCTGTGACATCTGCTCCCAAGCCTGCAAGTCCAGGTCAGTTTTGGCAGCTCATATGAGCATACATAACAACAGCTGTTCATTTGAGTGTAAAGCTTGTTTCAACATGTACCCAAATATGGGAAGTTTGAGATATCATGAAAAGAGACACACTGAAGAGGACAAGATTAACATTTTGAACTATGTCAAGTGTGACACATGTGGTGATCTTTGTGTCAATGAAAAAATGTTGGAGAAGCATGTTTTGCAACACAAAGACAGCCATACTTGTGACTTTTGCAAAATGTCATTTCAGACGTACACTGCTCTCCAGAATCATCAGTCAGTGGAACAGCACCACAAGTGTGAATATTGTGGGAAGACATACAAAGATCAGAAGTATCTTAGGAAACACATCCGTACTGTCCACACCAAACAAGAGGCTCACATGTGTGACAAGTGTGGCAAGTCCCTCAGTAGTCAGGCAGGTCTCCGAGCCCACATGGCACTTCACACGGGGACTGCCAAATTTCAATGCAGCATGTGTAACTTGAAATTTCACCATGCGGGTAAATTAGAACACCACATGAAAGCTCATGAAGCTGGTGGTGGTCTGTGTGAGCTATGTAAGAAGTTTTTCCGGACTCGGATATGCCTCAAAGTCCACAAGTTGATGCATCAGGCTCTGGAAGCAGCAGGGGAAGATCTAGGCAATACTAAAGGGCTGCTGATTCAAGGGCTGTCGGAGTACACTTGTCCATGTTGTAAGAAGACAGTCGGAACTGTGGAACAGCTCAGGCAGCATATCAAGCATCACTTTGTTGAAAGGAGGTTCAAATGCACAATGTGCGATATGTCCTTTTTCAACAACTATTACTTGGAGACACATATAAGAATCCATAACAAGGACTTTTCATTTCACTGTGATCAGTGTCCTCGAAAATTTGCCTCGTCCAACTTTCTGAATAATCATATCAAGAAGATCCATCTGAAATCTGACAGGGGTAGATTTCCTTGTGACATTTGTAAGAAGATTTTCAGAACGAGGGCAGGTGTTGGCAGTCACAAAAGGCTTCATAAGGACCGTGTCCGTGGTCATCCATGTGATTTGTGCGAGTTAAGCTTCTTCTCTCCATCGGAACTAAAGGCACATAAGCAGACTCACTCTTCCGTGAGAGCGTTTATGTGTGATCTCTGTGGCGTGAGTTATAAGACGAAATACATGTTGAGAAACCATATGCTCAGGCATGAAGGACGGAAGGACTTTAAATGTGACTTGTGTGGAAAGGAGTTCTTTCTGAAAGCGTATTTGCAGATTCATCTGAGAAATCACAAAAATGAGAGGAATTTCAGGTGTAATATTTGTGACAAGGGTTTCAATCATCCTAATTCTCTCAACGACCACAAGCGAATTCACACTGGTGAGAAGCCATACAAGTGTAAGACCTGTGATCGGAAGTTCACAGACAGGTCGGCTAGGAGAACGCATGAATTGTCACACAAGGCGTCCACCAGTAAGAGCAAGGGCAAAGTTGATCTGTGATTCGAGAATCAGATTGATAGTAGAATGCACCAAATGTCACACACAGTGTCCACAAGAATGAGCAAGGACAAAGTGTTCTGTGATTGGAGGATGACAGACTGTTAGAGCTCTCCCAGTGATAAGGGCATCACAAGTCACGATGTATGGATGCAATGCCAACTTACACCTGACAATATGTTACACAATATACCTACCAATGTCAAATCGTCTCTATGTACACACTATGTTCCTCCATCACTCATGAATATATATACATACATATACTATTTTTATCCCTCGCCATGAAGGGGGATATAGGAATGGGTGCCGTCCGTTTGTCCTTCCATCCATCCGTCCGTCACATTTCGTTTCCGGAGCAGATCTTGAAATCCGTACCATATTTCTTCACCAAACTTGACACATAGATAGGTCTAGTGATGAACTGGTGCCTTTTGATAGTTTGGGGTTTTTAAAAAAAATATTTTTCGAGTTTCCATGGCAACGACTTTGACTTAGACTGAAAATGGCGCTAGTCCTCGTTTCCGGAGCAGATCTTGAAAACTGTACCATATTTCTTCACCAAATTTGGCACATAGATAGGTCTTGTGGTGAAGTGGTGCCTTTTGATAGGTGAAGCAAGACATGCTTGCCCTTTTCATGAATACCTGGTGTCATCACTGATTTTCAGTGACCTATTGATGTAATTTTCAATAGAAGTTTTTCAGCAGACGATCAAGTTTGGTTATTCTTTGGAATGCCGTTTTATATTACACCTGGCTTCATTTCATTGCCTGACACATCAGTTACCCTGCAAAGGGCCATGTGTATTCACGAGTGATAGAGGAACGTAGTGTATACAAACATGAAGTGTTGGTGATGACCGATGTTTTGATTATCTTAATTCAGTATTGATTTTCACATTAATATTTATATATTATTGCACATTTTAATTTTGTTGATTTTCATAAGATTATATTTATCAAGTTTTGATCTGATAACTATATCTGTTATCTTGCCACCTGCCATGAAAAGAAAATGGTAATCTGATTGCATAATGGTATTCAAATGAGCCTAAATTGACAGTCATGTGTGCAAAACACTAACTGGTTGACAGCAACAAGCTCGTAGTGTTGGGTGAGAAGGGATGCCATGAGACTCATTTAGGTCATGGAAATACATGTACATTGGCAATAGGGTTCTGAAAACAATGAGAACGTTTCCTCCGAAAGAATCTGTTTTGTGTGTTTAGACGTGGAGGGTTATAATAAATGGACAAGCGTTTCTGTGAAGATTTGACAACCCCTCCATGTATTGTGTCAGCTGACTCCTGAAAGACCTTTTACTGCCAAATTTTTATCCCAAGAAGACCTCTTCTGTGATCTAATGGCTAGTTTGACTGTCCGGAGAGTTAAAGGTTCAAGGCAGAACCGTACCAAAAGAAAGTAAAAGATGCAGGTATGAGAATCACAAGATTTGTTCAAATCTCATGGCTTCACCCTTAAACACCTCCAAATTATGGACCACATTCCATTGCAAAGAAGTTTCAGCTGAAAAGGAAAATATCCAATCTCATCCCTGAAGATGGTTCTTGTTGTAACCCTCCTTATCAAGGGGCTAAAACAAGGATTGCTCGGCTGGGAGTCTGTATACAGTATCAGAGTGGCATATTCTTGTTAAACTGAGGCATGGGATCTCAGACTGGCCTTAAAAACCTGACATTACTCCGTAATTACTAATAGAAGCAGCAGAAACACTGAACAAAACGAACAAAAGAAAAACAATGCAGCACTATAATATTTCTTTGATGGTTCTCCCTTTTGGATGGAGATGCCATGGCACTCAGAAACATGGCCTTTTTTTATTTACATTCAGAACTCATCAGTTAAGTTTGTTATCACATTGTTTGTATTAGGTGGTTGGCATACAAATGTAACAGTATTAATAGTTGAGGGTATTGTATTTTCAACAAAATAGCATGTACAAGTTGTTTTTAGGAGCTTATTGGCCTTATTCTGACACATGCATGTTCATTGTGATATCCAATAGGTCTTCAGCCCATGCTTGCCGTAAAAGGCGACTATGTTTGTCGTAAGAGGCAACTAACGGGATCGGGTGGTCAGGCTCGCTGACTTGGTTGATGCATGTCATCGTATCCTAATTGTGTGGATCAATTCTCATGATGTCAATCACTGGATTGTCTGGTCCAGACTGATTTCTTTACAGACTCTGTCATACTAGTGGAGTATTGCTGAGTTCTGCGTTTCTTTTGGAGGTGAGTATATATACATCTGCATTCCATTGTTTACGAACAATACTCTCACACACCTGGGGACGTGCTCAGGGGCGAATATTCGATCCTAGATCTACAGCAAATGTTAGTCAAAGTTTCCAAATGAGAATTACAGTTTCTAATTCATGTTATAGCTATGACTGTTGATAGCATTGTAGTGATGACTTATATTTCAGTCATAAAAACACAGTTAACAGGAATAGTCCTTAATTGAAGGCAGTGTTATACAATGTTAAAATATCTCGGAAATTAAGAATAATAGGATCCCAATTTTGAAGAAAAGCACATGCGTGCGTGCGTGCGTGCGTGCGTGAGAGAGAGAGAGAGAGAGAATATCCACATTGAAAGTGAGCCGGTGATCCGAAGGAATATGTGATTAACCTGTTAAAATACAATGTTAAAATATCTCAGGAATTAAGAATATTATGATCCCAATTTTGAAGAAAAGCTCAGTTTGGAATCCTAAATAAATTCCCTCCAAGACCCAACCGTGTGTATGTGTGTGTGTGTGTGTGTGTGAGAGAGAGTGTGTGTGTGAGAGAGTGAGTGAGTGTGTTTGAGAGTGAGTGAGTGAGTGAGAAAGAATGAGAGTATCCACATTGAAAGTGAGCTGGTGATCAGAAGGAATATGTGATTAGCCTGTATATCGTAGTGGTATGTATGACAAAAGTGATCCTTGAAACCGGAAACTTCCCATCCCCGGATACAATCAAATACAAATTCAGCAATATATCTTATTTGGATAATTAACATAATTCTTGATGAATTATGAGATTCCACATGTTCAAGAACAATGCATCCATGTCTGTAGTTTTATAGTCCGTTGTTTTCTATAGTACATGTAGTACCTCTTTATGTATATTATGCTCACAATACAGCCAACCTATTGTTGTCATGTTAACTCGCTTGTATTGTTATTACCACCAAACGATTCAGCCAAGCTTTCCTTTTTCCCAGCTAACAGTTCAGTATCTTGTTTCGATAAGCTTTGAATGTAGATCTGTGCCAAACTCTAGTTTAGAAAACACCTTTTGATTGGTTGCCAGTTTCAAGCTTGAGTGAGAAAAATTCTGTGCTGAGTTAGTGATGGTGGCAAATGAGTTCAGTGTATTTATCATAATAGAATGGCATAATATTAACATGTTTAGTTTTTCGCTCACCTGGCTAAAAGTCAAGTGTGCTTGTCATGGCCGACCCGTGAAGATCCGGGGTAGAATAGGTCTTCAGCAACCCATGCTTGCTGTAAAAGGTAACTATGCTTGTCGTAAAAGGCGACCAATGGGATCGGGTGGTCAGGCTCGCTGACTTGGTTGATGCATGTCATCGTATCCCAATTGCGTGGATCGATGCGCATGATATTAATCACTGGATTGTCTGGTCCAGACTTGATTACTTACAGACCGTCGTCATATAGCTGGAATATTGCTGAGTGCGGCATTAAACAAGAAACCAATCAATCAATTGTGTCATGGTCTGCTTGTTCGTCATTCAGTGTCATGCGTTGTGAACAATACAGCGGTCATATTGAAAAACATTCATTTTGTCATTTTTGTTTAAAAAGTGTAATGAAATTTGGTATGTGTAGTGCCTCAACATGACACTTGACATGCTTTTTGGCACGAATGATGACAACTCAATTTGTTCAAGAAGTTCGAACAATGTTCAAGATTTTCATTATGAGAGCATGGCAGCCATATTGAACAAGCATCTATGGCCATGAGGTGGTGAGGTGAAATTGGGTTTAACGTCGCGTCCAAGATTATTGCACTTATATAGCGACGTGCATGCACGTGTATGTGTATGTGTGTGTGGCTGCTTGTACTAGTCCGGACTGATGCCGATTTATAGTGCTAGCTCACTGAGATACCATGCCGCAGTTTAACATGAATACCCCATTCAGACACAGTATACTGACTCCGAACCGACCAGTCCTTGTTTTAGTCCCTTAATGCCGAGCGCCAGACAGGGTAACAACAAATACCATCTTTTAACGTCTTTTGGTATGACGCGGCTGGGGGTCTAACCCCGGACCTTCCGCTCTCCGGGCGGACGCTCTACCATTAGACCACAGAGGCGGTTTTCTATGGCCATGAAGTGTGATGATAATCTTGTACATGTGACGTTAGTACTCAGGCACAATATATATTTTCAATTGTTTGCAATATTTTATATTGTGCCTTTTTAAGATGATGATCTTAAATAGTCTCAAAATCATATTTGCCTCTGTTAACATTTCGGAAATTTCTAGGCTGGGAGCTGAACTTGAACATGCATAATTCTCCTTATGACATCATATTTTGATCGATTCATCAGATTTTAGTGTCAGTCATTAGTACTTGATGAAAGGAGTATTTGAATATCATTGGTGACAGCAAATCTTTTCCAACAAGAGTAGTACAAACCTATTCACACCTCTACTACAGATCTGTGACAATGAAAATGACACACATCATATATTCTCCATCTTTGGGCTGGGACTCATCACCTGATTTCTCGGGATTTACTTCTTCGGTGTTCTCAAACAACATATCATAGATGTAAAATGAAAACGGGTAACATCTGAAAATTTGTTCACATCAATAATAAAGTTAACCAAATAATATAAAGTTAGGCAACATGCAGGTATATTCATGAAAACAATATTTGCATGGAACATATTCCTTGGAAAAAAACAATACAGAATACATGTTGAAAATGCAATTTTGATCTTGCTTTGATAATTTCCACGGTTACCTCTCGTATATGTTTCTTTTATGCTTGCATGATCAATCACTTCTTCATGTTATCATTGTTGCTCAGTGCTGATGCTTTGTTTGTGTAGCAGGGCAAACAGCATCCCACAGATGATATCCTCACCTTTCTTGCCGACTCAGGCATTTTCTGTCCATTACTAATATTTGCATGGGATCAGATTTTTGGAAATAAAAAAAAGGAAAATATTTATTTCATGTTCCTGTCTTGAGCTCACTGGTCTGGTGAGCTTATGTCCTGACACTTTGTTAGTCTGTCTCTCCATCATTAGACAAATGCTAGTCTCTGAAAGTTTATAATTTTGATAGAAAC